GAACACGTGTGCCGGGTCGTGTACCTCGGTGTTCCTTATGTGTTCCTCAAGGAACTAGCTTGACACACCTTGGAACACGTGTTCCGGGTCGTGTTCCTCGATGTTCCTCATGTGTTTCTCGGTGTTCCTCACGTGTTCCTCAAGGAACAAGCTTGGAACACCTTGGAACACGTGTTCCGGGTGGTGTTCCTCGATGTTCCTCATGTGTTCCTCGGTGTTCCTCATGTGTTCCTCAAGGAACATACCTGGAACACCTTGGAACACGTGTTCCGGGTCGTGTTCTTCAATGTTCCTCATGTGTTCCTCAAGGAACAAGCTTGGAACACCTTGGAACACGTGTTCCGCGTCGTGTTCCTCGATGTTCCTCATGTGTTCCTCGGTGTTCCTCTGTATTCCTCAAGGAACAAGTTTGGAGCATCTTGGAACACGTGTTTCGGGTCGTGATCCTCGATGTTCCTCACGTGTTCCTCAAGGAACAAGCTTGGAACACTTTGGAACACGCGTTCCGGGTCGTGCACCTCGGTGTTCCTTATGTGTTCCTCAAGGAACTAGCTTGACACACCTTGGAACACGCGTTCCGGGTCGTGTTCCTCGATGTTCCTCATGTGTTCCTCGGTGTTCCTCCTGTGTTCCTCAAGGAACAAGCCTGGAACACCTTGGAACACGTGTTCCGGGTCGTATTTCTCGATGTTCCTCATGTGTTCCTCGGTGTTCCTCATGTGTTCCTCAAGGAACAAGCTTGGAACACCTTGGAACATGTGTTCCGGGTCGTGTTCCACGATGTTCCTCATGTGTTCCTCGGTGTTCCTCATGTGTTCCTCAAGGAACAAGCCTGGAACACCTTTGAACACGTATTCCGGGTCGTATTTCTCGATGTTCCTCATGTGTTCCTCGGTGTTCCTCCTGTGTTCCTCAAGGAACAAGCCTGGAACACCTTGGAACACGTGTTCCGGGTCGTATTTCTCGATGTTCCTCATGTGTTCCTCGGTGTTCCTCATGTGTTCCTCAAGGAACAAGCTTGGAACACCTTGGAACATGTGTTCCGGGTCGTGTTCCTCGATGTTCCTCATGTGTTCCTCGGTGTTCCTCATGTGTTCCTCAAGCAACAAGCTTGGAACACCTTGGAACACGTGTGCCGGGTCGTGTACCTCGGTGTTCCTTATGTGTTCCTCAAGGAACTAGCTTGACACACCTTGGAACACGTGTTCCGGGTCGTGTTCCTCGATGTTCCTCATGTGTTTCTCGGTGTTCCTCACGTGTTCCTCAAGGAACAAGCCTGGAACACCTTGGAACACGTGTTCCGGGTCGTGTTCCTCGATGTTCCTCATGTGTTCCTCGGTGTTCCTCACGTGTTCGTCAAGGAAATAGCCTGGAACACCTTGGAACACGTGTTCCGGGTCGTGTTCCTCGATGTTCCTCATGTGTTCCTCGGTGTTCCTCATGTGTTCCTCAAGGAACATACCTGGAACACCTTGGAACACGTGTTCCGCGTCGTGTTCCTCGATGTTCCTCATGTGTTCCTCGGTGTTCCTCTGTATTCCTCAAGGAACAAGCTTGGAACACCTTGGAACACGTGTTCCGGGTCGTGTACCTCGGTGTTCCTCACGTGTTCCTAAAGGAACAAGCTTGGAGCATCTTGGAACACGTGTTCCGGGTCGTGTTCCTCGATGTTCCTCACGTGTTCCTCAAGGAACAAGCTTGGAACACTTTGGAACACGCGTTCCGGGTCGTGCACCTCGATGTTCCTTATGTGTTCCTCAAGGAACTAGCTTGACACACCTTGGAACACGTGTTCCGGGTCGTGTTCCTCGATGTTCCTCATGTGTTCCTCGGTGTTCCTCATGTGTTCCTCAAGGAACAAACTTGGAACACCTTGGAACACGTGTTCCAGGTCGTGTTTTTCGATGTTCCCCATGTGTTCCTCAAGGAACAAGCTTGGAACACCTTGGAACACGTGTTCCGGGTCGTGTTCCTCGATGTTCCTCATGTGTTCCTGAAGGAACAAGCTTTTAACACCTTGGAACACGTGTTCCGGGTCGTGTTTCTCGATGTTCCTCATGTGTTTTTCGGTGTTCCTCATGTGTTCCTCAAGGAACAAGCTTGGAACACCTTGGAACACGTGTTCCGGGTCGTGTTCCTCGATGTTCCTCATGTGTTCCTCGGTGTTCCTCATGTGTTCCTCAAGGAACAAGCTTGAAACACCTTGGAACACGTGTTCCGGGTCGTGTTTCTCGGTGTTCCTCATGTGTTCCTAAAGGAACAAGTTTGGAGCATCTTGGAACACGTGTTCCGGGTCGTGTTCCCCGATGTTCCTCACGTGTTCCTCAAGGAACAAGCTTGGAACACCTTGGAACACGTATTCCGGGTCGTGTTCCTCGATGTTCCTCATGTGTTCCTCGGTGTTCCTCATGTGTTCCTCAAGGAACAAGCTTGAAACACCTTGGAACACGTGTTCCGGGTCGTGTTTCTCGATGTTCCTCATGTGTTCCTCGGTGTTAAGCCGTTGCTAAGCAATTTTTTTCCGTTGCTTAGCAATTTTATCCCGTTGCTAAGCAACGTTTTTCCTTTGCTAAGCAACTCTTTTCCGTTGCTAAGAAATTTATTTCCGTTGCTAAGCAATATTTTTCCGTTGCTGAGCAATTTTTTCCCGTTGCTAAGCATTTTTTTCCGTTGCTAATAAACGCTTTTTTTCCGTTGCTAAGCAACGGTTTTCCGTTTCTATGCAACGCTTTTCCGTTGCTATGCCTCGCTTTTCCGTTGCTGAGCAATTTTTTCCCGTTGCTAAGCAATTTTTTTTCCGTTGCCAAGAAATTTTTTTCCGTTGCTAAGGAATTTTTTCCCGTTGCTAAGCAATTTTTTTGCCTAGCTAAGCAATTTTTTCCCTTGCTAAGCAATTTTGTTCCGTTGCTAAGCAATTTTTTCCAGTTGCTAAGCAATTTTTTCCCGTTGCTTAGCAATGTTTTCTGAAAATGATTTCCCATGGGAAGAAAATGATTTGCCATGTGAACAAAATGATTTCCCATGGGAAGAAAATGATTTCCCATGGGAACAAAATAATTTCCCATGGGAAGAAAATGATTTCCCATGGGAACAAAATGACTTCGCATAGGAAAAAAATGATTTCCCATTATAACAAAATGATTTCCCATGGGAAGAAAATGACTTCCCATGGGAACAAAATGATTTCCCGTGGGAAGAAAATGATTTCCCATGCGAAGAAAATGATTTCCCATGGGAACAGAATGATTTCCCATGGGAAGAAAATGATTTCCCATGGGAAATCATTTTGTCTTTTCGACTGATGCTTTCACTAAATCCTTAGGGAGAACAATCCTTCGAGCTACATTCTTTTGACACTCGACACACATATTTACACATATTTTAAAATTTGTTGTCTTTCTGAAGAATATTGGTTCACATATCTCAGCTCTTTTTGCTCCTTTGAGTAATTCTGGGCTTCAAATTTACTCCTTGAGCACCTCCCACTCACCGATTTTCCTTTTCTTCCTTGGAATATGTTCAGAGTTCGACTCGCTGTCAGAGTCACCGGATTCAAATCGGAGCAGTTGGGACGTCACTTTAATTTAAAAAGCTAAATAAAACCTTTGGAAAACAACCTGGATGCTGTTCGATAGACTTCATGTGTGGAACATATAACATATGAAGGCAGAAAATGCTAAGAACTGGTTTTACATACAAAAACGTAGGTACTCAAAGTATGAGACAAATGTAAATCCTTGAGATATTTTTTTTCATTTAGGAGACGTTTTACATGTAAGCAACTTGTATATTATTTATGAGACATTTTACGAATATTTAGGAGACGCGAAAATTTACTTCCATGGAAAATTGCGGCCCAGAAGGAAGAACACATCTCCTGATAAAGTTGATCCCTTTTTCTTAGGTGAGGCAAAAAGAAGACTATGTTTGGCAAGTGAATGAGCAAAATATGATCATAACCACTTTTTTCGTGTTTTGTGTGTATGCGAGGAAATTAGTGATAAACATTGTGAATGGTTTTTATGTCGACTATGCATTTAGCTCATTCTGACGTCGCATTACAAATTTGTGTTTATTAAGTTATTGAATTTTGCATCATTATGTCACATTCACTATTTTATTACAACTAATAATCGCATATATAAAAATCAAACGAAGTGCTACAATTAGGTTTTATATATTGCGAAGAGAATAATGATTTCGTTCTTAAATAATTACATAATCACATAATATTGGATACAAGAAAGTCACAAATCTTGTCAACTTGACTCTTGTTATGGACCCAAGAATTATGAGATTCGCTATCCAAATAGAGCAGATTCCAACTTCCAGGATCAATCAGGGTGTCCAGATTATTATACTTTGAATTCCGATAGTATTCGTAAAGAAGGAATTGAGGGTCTGAATCGTATTTCTCATTTATACGCGTGGCTTTAAATAATGCAATTTTGTTAGAATTTTCAACAAAGTTTTTCAGACAACTTTCTCCCGGCGTGTAGGCGTAATTAATTCTGTCAATTACATATTTTTCCTTGGGGAGGCCAATATCGTGACACGCTTTTATCACGTTGAAGTAGGAATCTATCATGGTCAACGTACCAATTTTTTCTCCAGAGTTTGTCAATTGCTTTGAAATTTCTAGGGATAAGAGTCCACCGAAACTCCACCCCAGGAAATGATACGGCCCGTGAGGTTGCAATTCTCTAATATATTTTAAGTACATTTTCGCCAATTGTTCGAAGCTACAGGTGTCCGGTTTGTTCATGGCGAGATAAAAATTGTTGAAAATTATGAGATTAAATCCTCCCAAGTTTTGAGCAATGTTGCCAAAATAGCTCTCAGCCCCACCTTCACCGGGAGGAAGGACAAACAGCGTGGGGATTGAGGAACTTGTTCCGTCTACGATTACGGAACAAAATTGAAAATATGGCTCAACTCCGATGGGTAATTGGCGGGTTGAAGATGTTGAGTTCTTGTGGAAATTGATTATATTTTCCAACATCCCCTTAAAGTTGGTTATGAATCTGCGAGTAGTTTTTTCACTTAAATAACTCCCAATCTTAAATGATAAGACGCCTCGAGAGCATATTCCCGTGATGTCGATTGCACTGGAATTTTTGTTGCTGGAAGATGAGTCTATAGTGAGTTCCATGCTTGTCGACGAAAGGTCGGTCAGTCCCCAGAAAGCACTTTCTTCGTTATTGTCGCTTTCTTCGAACTGGCCAAGATAGTTGAAGCTCACTGATGCCAATGGTTCGTGGTATCCGAACGTTGCGCCTTATCCGATCCCTTTGTTTGGTATTTCCTTCAAGTGGCTTTTCACGGCTGAAATACTGTCCTCCAAATGAGAACAAGTCCTAATTTCGATGGGGTACATGGAGGTGAACCATCCCATAGTTTTGTCGAGTTGAAGAAGCTTCTCATAATTTTGAGCCTCCAATCTTTCCTCTCTGCCGTGCCCTTCAAGGGTTACGTAATTAATTTGAGAGCCTGATACTTCTTTGAGTCCGTATCCCAATGCGGTCAGTAGCAAGTCGATCAATTGTGAGGAATACGTTTGACAAGAGTCTCTCATGAGAAGCTTTGTCTGTTCCGGCGTGAGACTGAAATCCAGTTTGACCTCATTGTTATTATTGTTTGGTGCGAGTAGCTCATTGTATTTTGGGACTTTATCGATGATCTTGTTCCAAAATAGTGCTTCTTGTTCGGAACATGCATACTTGTTCAGGGAGGTAGAAAAGTCTCTATAACTGCTCCCCTTCATTCCGAGGTTCGCATTGTGACCGGTGAGATACACGGTTTGGAAGTCGTTCCGAAGTATCCTCCAACTAACTGAGTCCACGATGAGGTGGTGAATCGCCCACCAGATTCTGGTCGACCCATCGTCATACCCGGTCAAATAGGCGAGACAGGACAGCGGACCATTCTCCAAGTCAAAGTTAGACTGCCACTGGGATAGTTTAGCTTTGACTTGACTTTCGCTTAAATTTTTGACATCGAGAGTTTGAACGTGTACAGATTGGGATGGATCGTCCTGATAAAATTGCACAATCGGAGAATTTTCAGTCTTCTTGCTGAATCTGAGTCGAAAAGCATCATGATGATTAACCAGAATTCGTACAGTTTCCGTAACTCTGTCCAAATTTAATGGTGGGGTTTTGATAAAGATGGTTTGGTTCCAGTATTCAGGTCGGGTCAAGGCCTTTGCAAAAAACCATTGTTGAATTGGGAGCAGGGGGACTTCTCCAATGATGTGGCCCTGCTCTGCTCTAACAATGGTTTGATTTAGTGGAGCAGTTGACGCCATTTTCTCAGAAATTCGTCGTATCGTTTTGAGAAGGAAGATATCCTGGACAGTAATTTTATTGCTGTGATTGCCTAACTCACTCCTACTTTTACTAACTACTCGCAGCGATGAGATGCTGTCGCCCCCGAGGTGAAAAAAGTTGTCGTCAATGCCCACCTCGACTTGCTTTAGGCCAAGAACGGATGCCCATATTTGACACAGTTGGACTTCCAGGTCATTTTGTGGTTCAGTGTGCAAGACATTTTCTTTCTTATTATGTGAATCTTGTAATGATTGCAGCAACTTTGTGTCCAACTTGCCATTGATTGTGATGGGAAGAGAGGATCGTCCTTCAACTCGTATTAATCTACTTGGTATCATGTAACTTGGCAGTTTGGTCTCCAAATAGGCGATAATTTTGTCTTCGCTAATTTCCTTCGTTGAGATGAAGTAACCCACGAGAGATTTGATTTGGGCGTTGTTTTCTGGGTCATATTTTGGAGCCACGGCACAATGAAGTATTCCCGAATATCTCGAAATCGCAGCTTCGATCTCGCCAATTTCAACTCGCAAGCCACGAATTTTTATTTGCGAGTCATTTCTTCCCAAATACTCTAACTCTCCGGAGGGCAAGTAGCGTACCAAGTCTCCCGTCTTGTAAAGCTTGGCGTTGTAATTATCATCTGCCCCGTCGTGGAATGGGTTAGGGATGAAGTTGCATTTGGTCAAGTTTTCCTGGTTGAGATAACCTCTCGATAATCCAATCCCAGACAAGTACAGTTCACCAATAGCTCCGAATGGGAGTAGTTGCTGATTTTCGTTCAACACAAATTTCATCACGTTTGGCAATACGTCCCCCAAACTGTTTTTGAAGGTGTTGTCTCCCTTTTCGTAACGACAGACGACATTATAAACGCACGTTTCAGTCGTTCCATACGCATTTACAAGTCTTCCCTGGAATTGGGACCGGATTTTGTCAAAGTGCCCTCTTCCAAACGTTTCCCCAGCCACTGTCACATTTCGTAGGTGGATCAGTCGAGATAAGTCAAGCTGATGTAGAACGGTGGGTGTTCCGCTCAAGTATGCTAACCCGTTCGAGTTAAGAAACTCGTAGAAATCATGGTCATCAAATTGAACGCTTTTGGGCGGAAGTATCAGTTTATTTCCGGTCGGAGAAAATAATCCGAGGAGCAATTGCTCAATGGAGAAATCAAACACGTAGTTGGACAAAAATAGAATTCCTTCGTCATCTACCTTCTCCGCTTCGGGAGAAAAGTAATACCTTGTCAAACTTGATCTCAAATCTGCTACACTTTTCTGCTCAATCATGACCCCTTTTGGATTTCCAGTAGTTCCTGAAGTGTAAATTATGTAGGACAGGTTACTATTTATCTGGGCATGCTCCGATTTAAAGTTAATTGTTGGATGGAGATTTAAAAGATGGGAAGTTGAGGCAGAGTCAATCTCCACAATTGCCAAGTTTCCATTTGAAGTGATACTTTTCCTCAGTACGGCACCGTATTTCTCACTGGTCAGTAAAATCTTTGCTTTTGTATCTTTTAAAATGAAGCTGATCCTCTCCGAGGGGAATTCTGGGTCGATGGGAACATACGCAGCTCCTGTTTTCCACACGGCGAGAATTGAGCTTATCATGGGCTCGCTCTTATCCAAGAAAAGTGCGATGATGTCGTCGGGTTTGGGGTCAAATTTAGAAAGCAGATAATAAGCGAGTTGGTTTGCTTTAGAGCTGAGTTCGCTATACGTAGTTTCTCCGTTCTCTAAAGAAACTAAAGCTGTTTTGTAACCAAATTTGGTTGCAATTTCATCAAAAATTGAGCTTGGTGTGTTATCATCTTGCGATGGTTTAGTATTTCTGGTCAGTAATGATGCTGTTTCTAATTTTCCGACTGGATTTACATCAGAAATTTTGACTCCGGCTTTCACCACCATGTTTGAAAACTGCTCAAGAACGTGGGCATAAGTTTTCAAGAAATTTTCTATTGTGGCGTCGCGAAATAGTTTCGTGGCGAATGTAGCAGTTCCCTCGATGCCGGATTCTTCAACCTCCGTCATAGTGGTGGACAAATCATATTTTGCCGTTGTTGCAGAAATATTTGGCTCGTAAGGGTTCAATTTCAGTGGATCTTGATCAGTAAAAAGTGAATGTTTCGCCATCGTTTTTGTTGGATTGAAGCTGAAAATTACTTGAACTAAGGGGTGGCGTGATAAGTCAATTTCTTTCGTATTGTCACTGACTAATTTGTCAAACAGCATGTCTTGATGTGCTTGAGATTGGATGATCTCCTCGCCCACGGTGCGAATATACTGGGCAAGACTTTCTTCCGGATTGATTCTGCTTCTCAAGGGGAGCAGGTTGACAAAGAATCCGATAACATTTTCAAATTCGGGGAGATTTCTGTTCGATACTGGATATCCGATGAGAATATCTTTCTGGTTCGTGTAGTAGCTCAATGTCAAGCTGTATGCGCTGATGAGAACGCTAAACATGCTTGTTTTTAGCATTTTAGACAGCTCCTTCAGCCCCCTCGTGGTCTCGAGTGAGATGTGGAAACGTAGTTCTTTTCCCTCGTAGGAAAACTTTGATGGTCGCTGGAAATCTGGGAGGAAATTTAGTGTCTGAGCCGAATCTAGCTTGTTTTTCCAATAGTTTGACAACATTTGGAGTCTTTGTCCAGTCAGGAAATTATTTTCCCATGATGCAAATTCTTTGTAGTGAGAGGTAAGCGGGGGAAGCATGTTGGGTTTTGATAATAATGTGGTATTCACATTGTTGGCATAAAGCGACTTCAAATCCCGTTGAAACACTCCCCAGGACCACCCGTCGAAGCAAATGTGGTGGAAAACGAGACACATTATGGTCGTTGGTGTGTCTTCAATCTCGTAAATCGTCACTTTGAGGGGAAGTTCTTTATCCAAAGAGAAAATATATTGCGACGCCTTGGTCAACCCTTGACTTAATTGGGCATGATTTTCGACGCGAATCGTATCAACGGAAAAGAGACGCTCAGTGACATCTTCCTCTCTGATAATAACCTGCGCTTTATTACTTCCTGTGAGAATCAGAGTTCGTAGGATTTCATGTCTCTTGATAACCGATCTGATGGATTCTTGCAGAATTCCCAAGTTCACCGTTTTTGACAGTTCGAAATAGAACGGGACGTTGAATGCAGAAGTTCCATTTTCCATCTCGTTTATAAACAGTAATCGTTTCTGTGCTAAGGAAAGCTCAAATGTGACCTCGGATGGTTGAGATATCGTTGAAATTGGGGCATCTGGCTTCATCTTGCTTTCAATGAATTTTCCTAAACCTTGGATTGTCCTGTGCTCAAAAATGTGCGTGACTTGGATCGACTTTCCAAACGATTTCGTCATGGTAAACGACAAGCTTATCGCTAACAAAGAATCTCCACCCAGACCGAAGAAGTCGTCAGTAATTCCAATCTGATCTTCTGGGAGTTGTAAAATCTCTCCCCAAATTGTGCACAGTTTTGTTTCAAGTTCATTTTGTGGAGGGGAAAAACCAAGTCTCTCCATCATCACGGGTTGCGACAATTGCTTCGTGTCAACTTTTCCACTAATGTTGACAGGAATCTTGTCAATGGGAACTAACCTCTTGGGAACCATGTAGCCTGGCAGCTTCGTTTGCAGGTATTTCCTAATGTCAACCTCTTCCAAGTTCTCCTTAGGGGACACGTAGTACCCGATGATATTTTGATTACGGGAAATCACAACGCATTGCGTAATCCTTGACCCGGGAGGATATGATAACATGGCTGCCTCGATTTCACAAAGTTCTATCCGTAACCCATGGACTTTTACTTGAAAATCGTTCCTTCCCATGTAGTCGACTTCCCCGTTGGATAGGAAACGACACAAGTCTCCAGTTTTGTACAATCTTGCATTGTCCTCGTCCCCATCAGCAAATGGATTTCTGACGAATGCCTTATCCGTCAAGTCGTCCCGATTCAGATATCCTCTTCCCACGCCGACCCCACCGAGATACAAATCTCCAATCGCTCCGGAAGGGAGGCGTTGCATATTTTCGTCGAGAATGTAACACGTCGTGTTTCCCACGGGGTGACCAATGCTTTTATTCAGCCGTCGCTCACTTGGGTCGGGATAAAGTCTTTTGTGACTCGTAATCGACACCTCGGTTGGACCATAGCCGTTAATTATCAGTCCGGAAAAAGTGCTTCGAATTTTGTTGAACAACGGTTCACTAAAATCTTCCCCGACCGCGTCAATTCTTTTGAGATGGGGCAAATCCCTGTACTCGTAGAGAGAGAGGACGGAAGGCGTGCCGGACAGATAGGTGACCTTGTTGGCCCTCATATACTCATAAAGTCGGTCCTTGTCGCAACGCATTTCGTCGTTGAGGACCACGAGGGTTTGTCCGTTGAGTAAAGCGTCAACCATTTGCTCGACAAAGTGATCGAAAACGTAGTTGGAAAAGGATAGGATGACTTCGTCGTGGTTATCTTGAAGAGAGAATATTTGAGCGAGTGAATTTTGTAGGTTGACGACTCCTCTGTGCTCAATCATGACCCCCTTCGGATTTCCGGTCGTTCCTGAGGTGTAAATTATGTAGGCAAGATCTGTACAAGTGGAAACCGCGGTGGGATTTTCAGAGTCCAAATTATGCAATCTTTGCTGAGATACTTCTTCAATTTGGATTACACACTGATCTGAGCACGACAGAGTTTGTACTCTTGACGCGCTCGTTGAGTTAGTGATGATAATCTTGGCTTGTGTATCTTTTAAAATGAATTGGATCCTCTCATCCGGATAACTTGGGTCCACTGGAACGTATGCAGCGCCAGATTTCCATACTCCAAAAACGCTTAAGATCATGAGTTCATTTTTGTTTAAGATGAGAGCAACCTTATCATTGGGTCGGATGGTGGTTAAGTTTTTCAAGTAATTTGCTAACTGATTGGCCCTCTTGTTTAATTGGGCGTAAGTGAGGCTCACATTTTCATACGTGACGGCAACCTTATCCGGAAACTTGTGAGCGACTTGTTCGAAAATTTTGTGTAAAGTGCTTTCACGTGGAAATTGTTGCCTGGTACAATTGTTCCATCCGTCCAGCAAGGATTCGTGTTTGGGGAGAAGACAGTTTAATTTTGTCACAAGTTTTGACTCCGGACTGTCCACAATTTGCCAAAGCAGTTGGGTCACGAGGGCGAGTAAATCTTGGACTATTTCCAAGTCAAAGAGCTCTCCAGCGTAGCAAAGAGTAAATTTTAACCCTCCTCCTCCACCTCCTCCTTCTTTTGTTTCCAACACTTCACGAACAATTACTGCCAGCGGATAGTCTAATTTCTCCACTTCCGAGAGAAACTTAAACCCCAACTCCTTCCTTTGAAACTCCACTCTAGAATTGTCCAGATTTGGATAATTCTCCAAAACGAAGAGTGTATCGAATAGACCATGTTTTAGCCCAGTATTATTGTGCAAACTCCCCAGCTCAATATTGCTCCTGCTATTCATCTCGATCACCTTTCCCTGAATTAATTCCAACGCATCCAGCACACAAAGACCGTTCTGCTCGGCGTGATCCACGATTAACGGGAGAGTATTTATGTACAGGCCGACGGATCGTTCAATCCCGTCAATCGGTAAATTTCGCCCGGATACCGTCGTCCCCACGATGGTTTGTCGCCCTGACCCGTAAACATGGAGGACTTTGTGCCACACGAATTGCAAAATGGAGTGCAGCGTTATTCCACTAATTGTCTTCAACTTGGAAACCAACTCAGGTCCAAATTCTACTGTTTCTTGTCTCTGGTCTTGCACTCGGTCGTAGTCATTCAGTTGAGTTTGATAGCGTACTTCGTCCCTCAGAAGGACGGAGAGATTGGACCGGTTCTCAATCTTCTCGACTTGCTTGGTCCAGTGGGACAGGTTATCTTTGCGGTGGGATTGAAGATAGAATTGTGCCTGAAGATAGGCCTCGTCAATCGAGTCGCTTCTTGCACTGGGAATCGCAACGCCACTGCCGTGCAACAAATTGAGGTATTGTTCATGCACAAAGGAGAAAAGAATGGGGAAACTCCACCCGTCAATAATTACGTGGTGACAGCTGAAGAGAAGGATGAAACTGTTTTGCTTCAATTCGAAGAGATGGATACGAAATAGGGACTCGGATTCGAGGCGGTAACCTTTCTCCCGGTCGGCTTTCTGCGCCTGTGAAATTTTCAATTCTTGCTCTTCTGGTTGTAAGTCTTTCAAACTTTTATAGTTCCAACTCAACTCTTGTTCGTGGTTGACGACTTGGTAAATTTCTTTCTCAACGCGGAAATTTAGTCGGAGGGAGACATACTTTTGCTGGGCAGCTTTCCATGATTTTTTGTAGTGCAGGATGTCCAGAGGAGTCTCGTATTTGTAGAGGGACTGCATGATGTAGGCGTCATCGGGGGTATCGAGCTGCTTCATGTGGTGGTACATTAGCCCCTGCTGCAGACTATTGGCCAACAAGGAGGAATGATTTGCGGGGATGATGGTATCGTCATCTTTTGCAGAAATGGAGTCATTTGGAGCAAGCAGGTCGTTGTGATTTTCATCCTCAAGCAAACTGTCAGCCAATTTTTGTATCGTTCTCAGCTTGAATATCTGTTCTAACGTTATGTGAATTTTTAACTGTTGTCGAATCTTGGCAATTAGCTGGATGCAGGTAATGCTGTGTCCTCCCAGGCGGAAAAAGTCGTCTGTAATTCCAACCCTTGTTTTCTTAAGGTTCAAGGTTTCCCCCCAAATTTGACAAAGTTTCGACTCCATCTCATTTATGGGAGGGGTGTAATCCAACTTTGCTTGGTCACCTCCCAAATCAACAACATTTGGCAAGGAGCGGAAGTCAATCTTCCCGTTAATCGTGACCGGAATATCTTTGACTTGCACCATTCTCGCCGGGATCATGTATCTCGGCAGGTTTTTCTCCAAATGCATGATAAGTTCGTGTTCTGAAATGTCTATTCCGTCACCCACGACGAAATAACCGACGAGATGTTTTGACGATGCGGTCGACTCTTCTTCCGACTTGGTACTCTTCACGACAATCGTGCATTTCTTTAGGCCCTCATATTTCATCACGATGGACTCGATTTCCGCCGGCTCGATCCTAACTCCACGGAGTTTGATTTGAAAATCGTTTCTCCCAATGTATTCCACTTCTCCGTTGGCCGTCCACCTGGCCAAGTCTCCAGTCTTGTACATTTTACTGTTGAATCCTGCATCCTTTTCCTCCCTGGTTTGGTACGGGTTTGGAATAAATTTGTCGTCGGTTAGGTGAGGTCGGTTGAGATAACCTCTCGAAATCCCCATCCCACCGATGTGCAATTCTCCAATAGTTTGGAGAGGAAGTTGTTTCAAGTCCTTGTCTAAAATGTAACATTTCACATTTCGCAGAGGTTTTCCTATCGTTCTGTCAACTCGAGGAGTGTCAGGGTCGAATATCTTCATCGCTGTGACCAATGCGGACTCGGTGAATCCGTATTCATTTATGATCCTTCCGTTGTAGTTTTGTCTCAATTTTTTGCATCGGGATTCTGTAAATTCTTCCCCGATTAAGATAAGTTTTGAGAGGGAGGTGCAGTTCGTCAAGTTGTACTCTTGGAGTACAGAAGCCGTCCCGTTGAGATAAGTTATTCCATATTTTTGAAGAAATTCTGGAAATCTGTCGAGATCAAGTTTTTCCTCGTCATCCACAATCACGAGTTGGTGGGAGTTGATGAGAGCGATTAAACTTTGACGAACGAAGGGTTCAAAAACGTAGGCGGAGAAGAGACAAACGACTTCTGGCTTGTTGTGCATGGAGTATTTGATGGATAAGTCGGTTATGCTGTTGACGACGCCTTTGTGTTCTTTGTAAACTCCTTTCGGTTCCCCGGTGGTGCCTGAATTAAGGACAATATTGTACTTTTTGTAATGTTCTGACGCCTGACTAAAGTATGAAAATTAAACCAGTATTAGTTACCTGAAGTGTACGTCACATAGGCAAGCTGACTGCTGGTCAATCCCAATTCTAAATTGGCGACAGGAACAGAATCCGCCTCTGTTTTTTCTAGGAGAGTTTCAATCTTGAAAATTTCTTCGTCACTACAAATTGTTCGGAGCCGATCGTAATGACGCCCATTGGTAATGGCCAACTTGTCTTTGGTATCGTCAAAGGTGAATTTTACCCTAGCGTCTGGATACGTAGGATCAATCGGAGTATATGCCGCTCCAGATTTCCAAATTGCCAAAACCGTAATGACCAGTGATTCAGATTTATCGAGAAAGAGAGCAATTAATTGTTCCGGCTGAACGCCAACGTTGAATTTTAAGTAATGGGCGAGTTGGTTAGATTTCTCGTTCAGTTGTCGATAAGTCAGGTGTACGTTTCCTTTCGGGTTTATCACGGCAATTTTGTCCGGCGTCTGGGCTGCGGCTTGTTCAAAGAGGTGATGAAGTCGCTTATCTTTGGGAAAGTCTTGGCTACCTCCGTTCCAAGAGGAGATTTGGACTCGTTGGATTTCTGGAAGAACGTTAACATTTCCGAGTGGTTGGTTAATGTCTTGGACAAATTGTTCCAAAATTGTGGTCAGTACGTCCAGCATTCCGTCGATGACGTCTTCTGTAAACAATTCTTGAGAGTACGAAATTCTGACCGAGTCATGAAGTAGGATGATGCTGATTGGGAATTTGGCAAGAATTTCGGATGCTAAAGTGTCCATTTTTTCATCGAGAAGCAATAAGCCATCGAATAAAGTGACATTCATCTCCAGAACTTGATCCATTGTTAGACTATTGTTGCTGGTCTGGGTCACAATTTCTTGTAAGGTTTCAATTATTGGTTTGTCGTTGATGTGATGATGATCCATGACAATTGGGACAAAATGATTGTCCTGTTCGTGGCCAGGTATTCCAGTCAGGACGACGGTGTAGTTTCCAGTTCCGTAAATGCTGAGGACTTTGTGCCATGCAAGCTCAACCAGGTTTGCAGTGCAGGGAATGGGAGACGAGTTTAGTAGTCGAAATTGGTCCGGTATCGTTACCTTCCTTACGCTGAGGTGGTGAGGCAGGTGTCCACTTTTTATCCCGTTTTTAGGCAGGCCATTGAAGTCGCAGCGTTCGGTGTATTGACCAAGTCGTGTTGTCCAGTAGTTCATCTTGATACCGTAAATTATTTAGTTCCAGGTCCGTTGGTGAAATTATCTGTCGGGGGAAAGATGACAATTATTCGAAATACTGTAAAGAGTTTTGAACGGATATCAGGGATTAATTTTTTTTTTGAATTTTATTGCTCCAAGCTTTCGACAGAAAAAATTTGAAATACTCGAATCTGGAAAATTAACGTAAATTATGTGAATTACCTTTTTCTCGTGTATGTATTGTGCTTAATGGTATTTTTTTAGTAGGACTTCACTAGTTGTAAGTCAGTCAGCAAAGGATAACAATTTCTTAAATGTTACAGTAAATAAGTTTTTTTATAGTGTACCAAAACTGGCGTGGGTACTTATGTATGAGTCAAGCTGGTTAGAAACGTTTCTTAGCAATTAGTTCAAGTCGAATGAACATCAGATGAAATTTGTTCGCAGTTTAAGTAACCTAAAGGTAGGTGCGGGTAGATTGGTCTAAAACTGTGATTTTAGAACATATACGAGTGATCTTGTTTTCATGGAATTAGAATGCAGTTATCTCCCTACTTTTACTTTGCATGGTAAAAAATAGTAAAAATACATCCTGCCTCGCTTGGCCATGTTTACGATATTCCAAGTATTCAATTAAGCCGCATGAATAATTACTTCAGGAAAGTGCAGTCCGTATAATTAAGTAATTTCATGAAGCACGTACACAAGTACAATTTTTTATTAGCGATACATTTGACAACAAAAACATGTAATGCAATCAAATTGGCCTGGGTGGAAAAACAGCAGCTGGATTGGATTCATGGAATTGTAAGAAGAAGGATGTACATTTTGTAATAAAAATTCATGGAACGGATTGACAACTCGTAATAAAAATTGGAATAAATTATGTGAAAATGGATTCTGTGAAGTGAAAATGAAAATAATATTGTTGGGCAATACATATATGAAAAACAAGATTATCGTCGCAAATTAATTGAAATTAAGATCCAAGAAATGCAGTTTGGATTTATTTGCGACGTGCGGCGGCTGGCATTACGGGTTAGCAAGTGCATTTCTGGTAATCACAAGTGAATTAGCATGTGGCAGTAGGACATGTCTGTTATTGAGTATAAAAATTCAGCACGTACATGTTCTGACAGTTGTTGATGTTGTCATCAACAAGGTTATTAAATGGGTCATCATTTATCCATGCAAAGTAATTCACTGAAAGAACATTACCGACTATTTACTTGCTGAGCAGCACGTCAGCACCACAAGTTCAATGCTAAATCTTAATGCACTTGCCCATAGAATCGAAATTGATTGGATGCAATATCTCATTTTTTAACGTCTGCAATTTAGATGCATTTTTTGATAATGATGAACACATGCAAGTTTTTAATTATACATGCATATTTACTCAAATTTAATCATGTGCAATTTTGGAAATAACTTGATTTTTTATAGTAAATTTATTTACTACCATCCTTTTTTAATAACAATGATATCCCGGATTTCCCTTCATCTTGCAAAAAAATATTTGCGAACTGATTTAATTAATTCGAATTGATTTCGCAGATTGGTTTGGTTCTTAGAACTGTTTTTTGTGCCCTGCACAATACACAAATTCAGTGAATTATAAGTTCCAAGCATCAAATCTATTTGCAAAAACATATTTACAGTGTAATTCTGCCATAATTATGTCTTAGGGACAGCATCTCATTAGAATAAAGCGAAAGCTACGTGCATAAAAACAGATTTAAGGAATTATGCATGGCTTGAATTAACTGAAAACCTAACCTAACCCATCAATCACGACTTAATGTTTTATAGAATTAATGGTCAACACATTACTAATTAAGTCGACCATTAAATGCACCCAAACCCCATTAACGACTCTGCCACCACTATATACCACTCACCATTTTTTAACTGCATTTGGCTATAAATACTGTCTTAATTGAAGCTACAGCAATAATTTATTCCAGTCTCGCTCTGTTGACACGGTCCAGTTTGCTCTCAGCCTTGCTACATTACATATTTACACCCTACATTTTCGCAAAAATGCCATCTGCATCCAACCCACTTGTGCCGACCATCGACATTTCCCCACTTTTTGGGGACGATAAGAATGCAAAGTTAAAAGTCGCCGGCGAAATTGACCAAGCATGTCGCGGCTCTGGATTCTTCTTAATTTCAAACCACGGCATCACCGTTCTCGACAAGTTGGTCGAGACGACGAAAAAGTTCCATCAATCGATGACCGATCAAGAAAAGTTTGACTTGGCGATCGTTGCGTACAACGAGAAAAATTCGAAACAGCACAGGAACGGGTATTATCTCCCGATCAAGGGGAAAAAAGCGGTTGAATCTTATGTAAGTTACATAATTTTATTAAGAATGATATGACAAAGATGACACTAAAAATTAACCACGTGTCTCAATTTTCCCCTCAGTGCTACTTAAACCCGACCTTCTCCAGTGAGCATCCCATGATCAAAAATAGCAACACACCCCTCCACGAAGTCAACGTTTGGCCGGATGAGAAAAAGCATCCTGGATTCAGAGAATTCAATGAGGATTTTTACTTCAAGATGTTCGACATGTCGGCAAAACTCCTTCGCGGATTTGCCCTTGCTCTTGAAAAGGAGGAGGATTTCTTTGACTCTTACTTCAAGAAGGAGGACACATTGTCGTCAGTGCGACTTATTCGCTACCCGTATTTGGAGGACTACCCTCCCGTCAAGACGGCCGCGGATGGGACGAAAGTTAGCTTTGAGAGTCATCAGGATGCTTCCCTCCTCACGGTGCTGTATCAGCCATGTAATTTTCCTTAATTGGTTATCATCGGTAATGTGCATTTGGATAATAGTTTTCTATTGATTCTCTAGACGTGGCAAATTTGCAAGTAAGCATGCCTGAGGGTTATTGTGACATTCCGTCGTCGGACGATTGTTTTTTGGTCAACTGTGGAGGATACATGGCCCACATTACGAATAATTACTACAAGGTGAAATAGTCTAGAAAATCAATTAAACGCTTCAATTTTCATCATAATTATGACGTTTTCCTAGGCTCCAATTCATCGCGTGAAATTTGTCAACGCGGAGAGATTGTCGCTCCCATTTTTCGTCATGTTGGGATATGAAAGCAAAATTGAGCCGTTCAATCATTCGAAACATGATGCCAATGCTGCAGAAGCTCCTCCAGCGATAACTTACGGGAATTATTTCCAAAATGCGAGAGTCCAACTGGTCATTACAAATGGTCAAACTTAATTTCAAACCCATATTACGCAAAACACTGTAAAAATGCATGGACAAAAATATCTAATAAAAATAAATTTGTGGATGAATTTAATTAATTAAAATTAGTCGACTACTACGTTATCATACTGCATAACACATGTAAAATGGTAAATCTGTGACACGTACAAAAAACGTTCAATAATTCGAAATGTGACGCTATGGAGCTTCTAAGAATTATTTCCAGTATTGGGAATTATTTCCAAAATACGAGAATCCAATTGGCCATTGCAAATGGTCAACTTAATTTCAAACCCATTTTACGTAAAACATTGTAAAAATTCAGAGTGCGAAAAATATCCACTAAAAATAAATTTGTGAATGGAATTAATACATTAGTCGACTGCTGCATACATTATCATACTTCATATAATAACACATCTGCTAATACCTAGGTAATGAATAGTATGCAAATTTATGACACGGATAAAAAACATAAACATATTTACCTCCTCGTTCGTACTTGAACTTGAAATAAAATGGCCCACATTTTTTTAAGGCAATCATAATATTATGAAACTCTGGGTAAACTTAATATTTATGCATTAAATTTATTTTTAAAGATCTCCATGTGAATAAACCGTCGTCGTTTTTGCATTATAGCCATTAACTTATTCTAAGTAAATCTGCATGTCGTGAATCATAAGGTGTTTTCACTGAATTGCATATTGATGAGTCAATAAGTTGCAGTCAGGCAGCTGCATACAAATTAAACAAAAAACCTCCGCTTCCTTTGTCATTTCGCGATATTGGATTTCGTCGAATTCTGCCAAATGAGTCATGCTGCAATGCGATTCTCATGTGCACTTCTTTTTTATGCTCTCATGAAAAACGGAGACCTCATGATCGTTGTCCTCCTCGCAAATGCATAGTCAGTCGGCTTTAGCACAACTTTTGCACTCGTGCAGTATTAAATAAATGCATAACAATAATTATTTTTTACTAATTAATTAACTAATTATATTACAATTAACCCCTTCGCAACCATGTACTCCAACATAAATCCACTCGTGTATTCTTACCTAAAATCGAATTTTTTATCAAAACTGTTTTTCCTCTGGGTAATTCCACTTTTGCGTCGAGGGAGCAAGTTCAAGTTAAATTGGTCAGATTTGGAACACGTGAGTAAATCGGATGAAGCAGCCTTTGTCGGAAAATTATTAAAGGCCGAGTGGGACAAGGAATTAAGGAACAAAAGTGGAAAGGATGCAAGTTTAGCGTGCGCTATTTTCCGTGCATTTGGTGCTCCATACTGCGCCCTTGGACTCATCGTGTTCACCAATGAGTGCATTATCAACATCGGACGAGCAATCTGCATGGGATATCTCATCAGATATTTCCAATCTGCGGAGAAGTACGATCAAAATTATGGACTCGGGTTTGCCGGTGGGGTCGTTTTGTTAGCCTTGATGCCTACCATTTTGCACCAGACTTACAGTTTACAGGCAAGTGAAGTCTAAAATATTATCGTAATTCCCTTCTTGACAAATTTGACAATTAATAATGCTTAATTAAGTTATGCACTCATTTCTGTACAGATTATGCGAATAGGAATGCGAGCCCGGGTGGCCGTGTCGTCACTAATCTACTCAAAAATGTTGCGACTTAGCGTATGCAGCTACATGAAGATTAATCCCGGCCAAATTGCCAACATTCTTGGAAACGATCTCACCCGATTTGACCAGTTATCATTTTCCTTCCACTATTTGTGGGTGGGTCCGCTACAAGCAGGCCTCGTCACGACGCTCCTTTGGTTGGAATACTTGGGATGGTCATGTCTCATCGGTCTTGGTCTCATTCTCGTCTACATCCCACTCCAACTGCTCTTCTCCAAGTGGTTCAAGCACCTAAGAAATCAAACCGCAAGAGCGGCTGACGACAGGATCAATCTCCTCACAGAAATACTAAATGGAATTCGCACCATCAAAATGAACTCATGGGACGTCGTATTTTCAAAAAGGGTGGATCAGGCGAGAAAAAAGGAGCTCAGATTTGTCAAACTGGCCGGATTTCTGCGAGCCATGAATGGAACTTTGTTCGCCGTGTCGTCAAAACTTATCATATTTTTGACAGCGTTAGCCCAATATTTGACGGGGGAGAAGATCACGGCGGAAAATATTTTCGTGTCTTTCGCATTGTACAATACGATTAGAATAATTATGACATTTTGTTTCCCAATGGCGATCATAAACATTAGCGAGGTTGTTGTCAGCCTGAGACGAGTGAAGGAATTTCTAATGGAGGAAGAAATCTGTGAAAATATTTCGCTAAAAACTTTGCCAGTATTAAACAGTCAGGTGCAATTAATCGCGTCCGGTGTGAACATAACCGTGGGTCAAGCAGGGCTTGAGCTCCGTGATGTAAACTTTTGTGTAGAAGGTCCGTCCTTAGTTTGCATAACTGGGCCTGTAGGGAGTGGCAAGAGTACGTTGTTAAACGCCATTTTGGGCGAATTACCCTTGAGGAGTGGGGATCTAGAGTGCTTATCTGCAAACTCGGTATCTTATGCGGCGCAAGATCCCTGGATATTTGGGGGTTGTATCAAGGAAAACATTCTGTTTAAGCAGGACTTCCGCCCTGATTGGTATCACCAAGTCGTGCGGGCATGTGCTTTGGAGGAAAATATGCAGGCATTGTCTCACGGTGACGCCACCTTGTTGGAAGATCAAGGTCTGAACCTCAGTGGTGGACAGAGAGCTCGAATTAGCCTGGCAAGGACGGCGTATTCAAATTCCGACCTAATTTTACTAGACGACCCGTTTGCATCATTAGACGGGAGAGTTGCGTATAAAATATTTCACGAGTGTGTGCTGAGACTAATGAGAAATAAGATTGTGGTGCTGGTCACTAATACCGAATTGCATTTGCAAATGGCCAATGTTATCCTGCAAATTGAGGATGACGGCAGCGTTAAAACTATTTGTAACCCTGCAATTACTGAGATGTCGAGAATAATAGAGGAAGAACCACTTCCTCCACAAGAAGCAAATGAAGGGAGAATTATGCCACGATGCATGTCAAGCACGGAACCGGAAGTTGGGCAGATTCTAACGTCTTCTAAAACCGAGGGAAAAACGGGAACTTTCCAATATTTCGGTGTAGTGTCACTCTGCCGGAGCATATTTCAAATCATTTTCCCCACAACTGCTGGAATTTGTCTCCTGGTCGTGGTAGACCTTTGGATAAAGCTCTGGGTAGCTGGTGGTAGCTCCGATTCGGACATAATTTACAGTTGGCTGCCACCTATAGTAAAAACAGAGGAAGGGATCGTGATTGTCTACTCGGTCATCGTGGGGCTGCTCATAGCGACATTTTTCCTAAGGAGCACCCTCTTCTTCTCAATGTGTGTCTGCATTTCGGCCAGATTGCATTTCTCCATGAGCAAAGGAGTTATCGGAAGCCCGTTAAGTTTTTTCGAAAGGACGCCGTCCGGTCAGATCTTATCTCGGTTTTCCTCAGACACAGGGACACTCGACGATATTTTGCCCCAATCTTTATTCGACGCAGTGGAGTCATTACAAAGCGGGATAGCCGTTTTAATCGTGGTGTCCATCGTCGCACCCATCACAATCCTTCCGGTCTTAATCCTGCTCATATTTCTCGTCATTTTGAGGGGATTTTATCTCAAGAGTTCCAAAGCTGTGAAGCAACTCGAAGCTGGGACGAGAGGAGACATGTTGACTCGAGTGAAGTCAGCATTTCGTGGAATTCCTCTAATCCGTTGCACTAATGGGATGGTTGAGAAGCAAATTGGTGACTTCCACGCCATTCAGGATACACATAGCTCAGCCTGGTTCATTTATGTGGCGAGTGGGCGATGGATCGCGATGTATTTAGACTTTGTCGCCGTACTTTTCACAGCGATGGTTATCTTTAGTTTTTTCATTTTTTCGACAAAAGGGGATAATTCGACGACATATGGACTCGTAATTTCATCCGCACTAACTCTGACGGGGATGTTACAATTGGCTGTCAGACAGTCGGCTGAGGTTGAGAATCAGCTCGTTTCTTTGGAACGAGTGAAGGAATTTTCTGAGGGATCTCTACCTTCGGAAGAGATGGGAACCATTGAGGCAGAAAATGCTCAAAAATGGCCGCAAGAAAGTACCGACATTGAGTTTGCTGATTATTTCTTAAAATATGGAGAAAGTGATGAGACTGCTGCCCTCAAAAATATTTCGCTGTGTGTGAAATCTGGCGAAAAGGTCGGCATCGTGGGGAGGACTGGGTCCGGAAAGAGCTCGATGATCGCATCACTGTTGAGATTAGTGCCTTCTGCTGCTCAACAAGGTGCCATTTTTATCGGTGGTGTTAACATTTGTAGCATTCCGTTCCGTGTCTTGCGATCAAATATAACGATAATTCCACAATCCATGGACTTGTTTAGTGGCACGTTACGCTACAATTTGGATCCTGAAGAGAAATTTGGGGATGATGAGTTGCACCGAGTTCTAAACCTTCTTAATTGTCCTTCTTTAAGTACATGCGACTTGGACGAGCCTTTAATTTCAGAGAATCTAAGCATGGGACAAAAGCAATTTTTATGTTTTGTGATTTGTTGTGTGTGCAGGGAACAAAGTTGAACAAAGGTTGCTGAAAAAGAACAAAATAGTTTTGCTCGATGAAGCCACTGCGAATTTAGATGTGGAAGCTGATATTACCATACATAAATTGATTAAGGAATATATGAAGGACTTCACGGTGATAAGTATTGCTCATAAGATACACAATATTTTAGATTGCGATAAAATTGTAGTGCTGTATGGAGGACAAATTGTTGAGAATGATACCCCACTAAAATTAATGGGAAATCCGGACGGTATATTGTATCGACTTGCTCATCCAAATGCTGACGATGATCAGTATTTTCAAGATAATGATGTAATAGATACAATTTTATAAGCTTAGAATTAAGTTAGCAGCGATAAGTGAGGAACTACTTTTTTAAGTTATTTGTAAAATGCTGCTTAATAATAATAATTAAAATGGGTAATTAATTCCTTGAAACAATTTTGGAAATAAAAAACCTTGTATTTATGTAACTTATCCCATTTCGATAGCAATTTTATTCGCATCACACAACCACATTTAACAGACTTCATCGCATGAATTCTGAGAACTTGACAACGATGACTGCATGATTTGAGTTAATTTTTCATTTAATTTAATTTATCACAAACAGCAGTTCACCAATACTCATCCTGAACAACATCGGCATTACTTTCAGTATTAAATTGCAAATGCTTTAAGCCACACTAGTTCTTCACCATATCTTGCTCTGAACCAATTTACACATATAGCAAATTTCAGTCTGATTTTCGCCAATTGCTGTGCGTATGTATATCTCCTACTGAAATTACATCAAGAACGGATACCTGAAATGGAACCTTACAAACCATGGTTTTTAGAATCTGCAGTGAAACTTTTAAACATCCCGTCGCACAAAGTTAAGGTTAGTATAACTCTCAACCAATAGATTAAGAATGTATATTTTTTTGATTTCTTAAAATTAAGAAAATGCTCAACATTATTATGTATTCAGCTCGGCAATTTCCCAACCCCACTGCACCCCTGGTCATTCTCTTTCCAAGGAAGGACATACAACTTCCTCATAAAACGGGACGATTTGACGGATTTAGCCGCAAGTGGGAACAAAATACGGAAATTGGAATTCATCCTCCCCGAAGTTTTGAGGGGACAGCACGACTGGATCGTGTCTCTGGGGCCAACGCAATCCAATTGTTGTCGCGTCGTGTCCGCGATCGCTCCCCGACTTGGCTTGCGATCTGCTCATGTTTTAGTGAAAAATCTGGAATGTCAACCATCGCAAGGAAATCTCTTTTTCCATTCACTATTCGGATCTAAGTTATTCTTCATCTCGAGGGACCATTACCTCCAACATGGGCAGCAAAAGTTGCTCGAAGAAGCGAAGGAAACCTTGATGAAGGAAGAGGGTGCTTCGAACCCGTACATATTGCCCATGGGTGGGAGTACGGTGCACGGAATATTCGGCTACATCGACTGCTTTCACGAGTTGGAAGGTCAACTCGAAGAATTGAAAGGTGCTCCCGTGGATGAAATTTTTTTTGCCTGTGGAAGCGGTGGAATTGCTGCTGGGCTCGTGATTGGAAAGCTATTGTCAAATTCTAGTTATTTAAAAGATGTAAAACTAACAGGGTACATCGCATGGGATGAAAAGCCGGCATATTTCTTGAACTATGTCAACGAGATGTTGACGTTGGTCGGATTAAGGGGAGAATGCAAGGCAGAGGACCTAATTCGGTTTGAAACTGCTAAAAATCTTGGTTACGGGATCAATTCAGGGGAAGAAATTGAGTTGATTAAATGTGTGGCGAGATCGTCTGGGATAATTTTGGATGGGAGTTACACAGTGAAAGCGGTTGGTAGTTTCATAAAGGAGAAGAGACACGAGGGGAAAGTCTGCATCTTTTTGCACACTGGTGGGATGTTTTCAATGATGGGGAGTGGACATATTTTTGATTAGTATTATGCGTTAAATCCATATTCGAAACTGTGAGACATCTACATTATAAGAGTAATAGTAGTAAATTACTACTAGTAATTAATAAATCCAGCAGTATAAGTTAATTAACAATATATCTATTTATTTATCTAGTGACGCATGTACACATTTAATTTTGTTGTTTGTGTGACCATAAAAGACGACACAAATATTTACTTTAGGAAAAGTGAGCTCAGCTCACCTTTTGAATATATCACTGACAAATTCACAGACGTACAAATAGTTTAGATTTTATTTTTAAATTGCATAAACAAAGTTCATACGAACAAATTATCGACGACGAAGATGTTGCTGTTAGCTTTGATGTTAGTGAGAAAAGATGGAGCTTATAGATCTTCATCATCATCGGGTAGAGCAACGTTGGCTGCCTCCTAAAATATGCAAATAAATACACAATAATGTAGATAGTTGCCAATTCGATACCGATAAAAAGTAGTTTATTTTAAATCATGCACTGACCTGGAGATCGTTTTCAATCTGTCGTTGCCAAGCAGGATCCATGTGGACCTCTGGTGCCGCCAGCGCTGGCATGGCGACGAACTCAAGGTTGGCATCCCCAATAAGTTTACGAGCCAGCCAGAGAAATGGTTTCTCAAAGTTGTAGTTGCTCTTAGCGGAGATATCGTAATATTGTAGATTCTTCTTCCGATGGAAAACGATGCTCTTTGCCTTCACCTTCCGATCCTTGATGTCAACTTTGTTCCCTGCACACACAACAAATCATCCCGTTACGTTGTCACTCATCATATAAATCATTTTTTAGACTTTCATCAATTTTAAACATAAAGTGAGTAAGTTATGTACTGTGCGGATGGAGTTAAACTCACGAGAAACCCTAGTCTCAGCACAAGGTACTTCAGGAGGCCGTAGGTTTAAGCTCCACCCGCACAGTACATAACTCACTCACTTTATGTATAATAAACTCACCGCAAAGTACAATCGGTATGTTCTCGCAAACCCTAACCAAATCCCGATGCCAGTTCGGCACGTTCTTATACGTGGCACGAGTAGTCAAATCGAACATTATAATCGCACAATGACCCTAGAGAAAAAATATATAAAAAATTCCAAATTAATAATTTAATTTATACATGAGTTATCCTCCCGTGCACCGCCATCATCGCCGACCAACTAATATCAATCAACCTCTCTTCCTTACCTGAGTATAATAACCGTCCCGCAAGCCTCCAGATTTCTCCTGACCTGCTGTGTCCCACACTTCGAAACGGATCGAGCCTCGCGACGTATTGAAGACGAGCGGGCGGACTTCGACGCCAGACGTGGCGACATACTTTTTCTCGAATTCTCCAGACACGTGACGCTTGACGAACGTGGTTTTCCCAGTCCCTCCATCCCCCACCAAGACACACTTGAAGGTCGGCATGTTCTCTTCCTTCTTCTCCGCCATGGTGACCACGATAAGCGACGACGAACACGTAAAAATCAAACACTTGGCGACGATGACAAGGCGACGTAGGCAGGCAGGCAAGAGAGAGCAAAGAGCTGACAATGTAGCCGACTGGGGAGACGGAACCAAAGTGAGTGCGAGCGAGAGACGGTCGGAACAAGCAGCGACTGACCCAGAGAGGCTGATCGGTTTGTTAAAGTGAGAAGAAGAGGAAATGAAAAGTTCATTGGCTTAGCTCAAATGTGTGAAGGAGTGGCGGTTGGCCATTGGCAGCATGCCTGGCAGTCTGGGAAAGCAAAATTTGCATCACCACAACCACACACTCACTCACTCCGATTCCATGACGACTTTCTCGGACTGTCTGTAGAGTAAACAATACAAGTTGACAAGGAGTCAAATTTTTTTACTTTGTGCAGCAAATTGAGCGATTTAAGGTTGTCGAAAGAGAAACTAAAGCGAAAGCCTATTAAAAAAGGACTTGGGGCGGCTCAAAAACTAGACCCCACGACGAGGGAGCGAGAAGACCTGAACAGTTGGTTAATTTCAGCTATTGACTCGATGCAAATTCAAATTGATTCCTTCGAGTGCGAAATCGAGTCCATTTTAGCTGCAGGGAAAAAGCGCTTGGATAAAGATAAGCAAGACCGACTCGACGAATTAAAAACCTTCCTCGAACGACACAGGTTTCATATAACAAAATTGGAAACTCTGATGAGAATGCTTGACAATCTAGCAGAGGATGTAAATGCGGTCAGTATAAGATACTAAATCTATAATAAACATTAACGGTACCTCAATAATCTGATTATTCACCTTGTTAATTTTCTTGTAATTACAGCTTAGAACATTTTTAAGTCAAGTCAAAAACATCAAAGATGACATCGAGTACTTAGAGTCCAGTCAAGAAGCTGGATTTGAAGGGAATGAATTTATTTATGATGATATTGACGGTCTCGATGGTTTTGACGATTTCTCGTCGGCAAACCAGTCGGCGGTGGTACGGGAGAAGAAGGAGCAGAGGAAGAGTTGCCAATATCAATTACAACAACTTCTGGGAACAACTCACCAATTTCCCCCGTTCATTCCAGTGATGCTTCAGATCCTGAAAAGAGGAGAAAATCTTCAGACGACGTCTCCGTCAAAGTCGTCAGGCCTGTTGAGGTGAAAGCGGTGGTTCAGTCGAATCATAGTCCAAGTCCTGTAGGTGTAGAAGGAGGAAAGGCTGTCGGAGCGGTAGGAACACCCCCCAATGGTGTCGGTACTCCGAATAATTCGTCTCCCAGCTCATGGTTGTCAAATCACGTCTCCTCGCTCTCGTCTCTGTCTTCGTCCCCCACTCACAACTACCACAATGCTCTCAATAACTCTAAATCCATAGGTAACGGTGATGGTATAGCTAGCATACAATTTAATCCTAATTTTATGACAAGGGGACAATTTTGTTCTTATTCGGTTGTATGTATCTCTAGGCCACCCTGATCTAACGGTGCACAAGGACGGCTCTTCGACCACGGGTGGTTTATGTTTTCGGGGTTTGTCCAAATTTTCAGTCATGGATTCCAGCATAATTAGAGGTAATTATGAGCATTCAACAATTAGTGATGTTTTTTATTTGTAAGTGATTGATTAGTGGTTAATTTTTACATGGTTGTTTAACTTTAGGGCCCTTGGGTGGTATGTCAACAGTAAACGGGATACTTGAAAACGGGAATGGGAGTCCGATTGATGAGGATCATTCAAGCCCACATATTCAGTTATTAACATCATGCAGTACACCAATTACTGGATCCAGCCTAACCATGGAAAATGGGCTTATCCCCTCTTCCCCTCCACAAGAAACGACGTGTAGTAATAACAACAACATCTTGTTAATGTCATCCTCCTCCTCGACTGAGACAAGCGGTGTGAATGAGCACCCCTCCTCCCACTCGCACTCGTCCCAACAATTACAACTCCAACAGCAACACAAACTCTTTGGAGACTCCTCATCATTATTGTCATCGACGATAGAATTACTTTCAAACTCATCATCTCTTCAGCAACCTTCTTCCTACATTCAGCAAGCTCTTAATGGACTTGGCTCCGTTACTGGGGCGGCGAGTAATTTATCTGGAGGATTTGCGTCAAACCTGGGTGTTAGTAGTACTTCTCTGATTAGCAGCATTAACAATAGTAGTGGTAGTAACTCTTGTAGTGTTATGGGTGACACTTCTAATGTGATCGGACTACTTAACATAATTGGTCTGAGTAGTGGTGGTATTCAACTGATCAGTTCCACTGAGGATCACATAAGAACGGAAGTTGAATTCCAAATGATGGAAGCTGCCCATCAACACCTTCCAGTTTCTGCTGATAGTGAACGCCAGTTTATACCCAGAAATCCGTACCCAACGCCACTCTATTATCCACAAGTATGTCAATAATAATTACTCAAATTAATGGCTCCTGTCCTGTTTTTAGATGTTCCTTATTAATGACAATTAATTCTCTATATTCTAGCATCCATTATCAAATTCTGATACCTTTGAATTTTTCAACCAGCTATCGATAGAAACGTTGTTTTTCATCTTTTACTATCTGGAGGGTAAGTAATTTGGTTTGAAGAAATGTGCGGTCGAACTATTTTTAAATTCACCAATTCATTACAGGGACGAAAGCGCAGTACTTGGCCATACGAGTTTTAAAAAGGCAGAATTGGAGGTATTTATTTTATTCTGTCTATTCTATTTATAGGATATATCTGTAGTTTATAAAACTTGGTCATTTATAATAACGTATTAATATCATAGGTTCCATACAAAATATATGATGTGGTTCCAACGCCATGAGGAACCAATGGTGGTTACTGAAGAATATGAGCAGGTAAGATGAATAACTCAGCTTACTATTTTGAAGGACAAAGAGTTAATTTCTAACTCCAACCACCACGATTTACTTGTGCAGGGGACATACGTGTATTTCGATATAGAAAAGTGGGGTCAGAGGAAAAATGACGGATTCGTGTTATCGCTATCTGGAAGATAGAGATATGAGACAATCGCAGCACACATCAAGCCGCTATAGTCTTCATTCATGCTGCTGATCCATTCTTAATCATGTCTTAATTTAGTTTTAGTTTATAAATTAGTTATAAATTTTATAAATTTACATTTTCGATGATTCCGATGATTCCCAATAATAAAACATTCATGCAATGTTTAGAAAACTTTTAGTTCCGGTGTATTGCATAATTTTAATTTGCATAAATTCCTTTAGTAACACAAATTGCATGGCGCAAAAAAATATTAATATGAGATAGCCCTCATATCAACTGACCATTTTACTATAAGCATTATTTTCGCAGTTGCTGAGTTTGTCTCAATTTTTTTAATGAAGGGCCGGCCAGTGCATTATCAATTGAGAGGAATAACAGGAAGGAATGCGCGACTCATGATTAAATTACTAATTTATCATAAATCAACATTGGTTTATCTACATTTTACTGTCCAGTAGTAGTTTAGCCCAAATTTAGGAGCAATTTTATAAGCCCGTCAGCCAATTAAGAGAGACCATCATCTCAACCTGCCTCTAGGGGAGAGTGAACTATGGACACATCTCGATGCGGGAGAACAAGCCAAACGGTCAAAATTCCTAGAAATGCGTGGCTGACAGATTAAAGTTACTTAATCCTAATATTAGAATTCCTTTGCATTTTGCGGCCAATTAATACCATCGCCGTCGGGTTCTGTGGGTGTTTTTTAGTCCTTTACTTTATTGCGATAATATCACCACTAAAATCGGAGGAACGTAATATAAAATAGGTGCCTCAGCCCTTGTTTTCCTTCATTTTCCACTCCATGCATTATTACGCTTTTAACACATTAATTAACTTATATAACGCTATATTGATCACACCAAGCTATCTTTAACTATATTGTTTCCATTTTTCTTGATTTTTAAAGATTCCACCTTGTCGTGGAGTCGTTTGGAAGTGCGGATATTTCAGTCCTTCTTATCTCCTGGAGTTCACACCTTATCTCGAGAAAGCTCAGAGTGCTTGGTGAAGCGAGCGTCCCTGCGAGCAAGGCGTCCTACAAAGCCTACTTAAGGAGCCACGACTGAGGGTTTCTGCTCATTCTCTCTCTCGCCACCGTCGAAGTATAAAGGTCAAAAAAGTGCTCTCTCGATCTTGCTCTTTTTCTTCCCAAGTTTTGAGCTGAATTTAAAAGTTACATCTACTTTTCTAGAAACTTAAAGATTTCTTGCCATGGCGAAAACACGATCTTCTGGACGAGTTTTGCGATGTCGTAGAAAGTCGTGCGGGAACGCAGACTGTTGTGTCGATGTAGAAAAGGCAGTTCTAAAATCAACGAAAAGGGAAACGAATCAAAAGGCAGCATCCATTATTAAAAGGTAAAAAATTAAATAAGGTTTTTAAAAGAAATTTGTCCCTTAATTTTTTTTAAATTCCACTTTTATTCAAAATATTTGTCTATTTTCAGACCTTCGACGTCAAGCCCCAGCTGTACTTTTCAACGTCGAAGTTTCACCTCTGCTCGTCGAATCAAAACATGGCGATTTGTTGATTTGGCAAAGTCTAACCCTGGGCAATATGGAGCTTTTGGAACGGCAAAATGGTTTCGGTCATGGACAAACTTCGTCGATGAGCCAGGGGTCGTCCACCAGGAAAATGTGATGATATGGTTTGCGCAATTAAATGAAATTTTTCGTGTAAGGACTATAATTTATTTTTCAAATAATTGTAAATTTATTTATGACTTTGTTTGAAAGATAAACTGTAATCTAATTAGTTTACATTCTTATAGAATTCGCAATATGGGAACTCCGAGACGGCAAAGCAAAACAGTCAGCCGACCAGGAATCAACAGATCAAGAAGGAAAGGTCGTCATCGAGAAGCGAGGAAAAATTATTCTTGAAAAAAGAGGACAAATCATCCTTGAAAAAAGAAGAAAAACCGGCCTTGCGGAAACAGGAAAAATCATCCGTGCAAAAGGAGGAAGAAGAATTGTTCCTGCGAAAGAAGGAAAAATTGTCCATCCAAAAAGAAGAAGACTCGCCGATAGTAAAGAAGGAATCAGCAACAGTAAAGACGGAATCGCCAATAATAAAGATGGAAAGAAGATCATCGTCGTCCTTGGATGATGAGGGAATCTCCATTCAGCTGTCAGCCTCCACTACGGATGTATCTCACGGAGATCAAGCTGATGTCGAGAGTTTGGAGCCATCAACCGCACCCCCGGAAGATTCCTACACGTACTTTGCCATAGTTCCGGATGGCCAATATACTATAATTGATGGTCAAGTCATTGAGGACTTGACTCACCTAACAAGATTTATTGGGGACGACCAAAGTGCTGCTTTGGCTTGCTACCAGCTAATCAACTTAGGCAACGAAGGCTCAATGGTTCAACGGTTCAATGTTGGACAAGGAGCCGAGACTAGCTTCGAACCAGACTTTGGACAAGGAGCCGAGACTAACTTCGAACCAGACTTTGGACAAGGAGCCGAGACTAACTTCGAACCAGATTCGGGAGTTAGTTTATCACTGACAGAGAATGAGGATGACTCACTTTTGAATATTGCACTTGAGGAATTAGATAAGTACTTTGAAGGGGTTACCACCGAGGAACTTCTTAAAATGGTGGCAAACTGTGAGCCATGAATAAGTAAATACTATTTGTATTAATTATCTTGAAAATTTAAGATTCTTGACATGAACTGATTAGTAGTATAATAGTTTAAATGTACAAATATTCAGGGTTTTAAAACTAACAATATGAATTTTATGAGTCTTAAACCACTGATGTTCTATTATTTCTAACAAACACAATCAATTTGACAATAAAATGAACTAATATTGATTGATTTATTTATAAATTGAGTGTGATTTATACTGTTTTATTTTAAAATTCGTTATTTGCATAGTCAGTAAGCATTTACTTATGTCCATTTACGCATCGAAACTTGTGCATTTTTCATAGCTGAACGAGCAGTGTAAATCCAGGTCGATCTTTTTCTATTTCATTTTCTGAGGTTGCCGGATAACTTTTATGATTTAAAAATGAATGGAAGGGGTATAGGTGCACATATTTTTGGTACAAAACTTTATTCTAAGTAAAAAGATTTGTGACTGTAATACCAGCACTATATTTAACCAATTATCTCGGTAATTGGTGCGAAAAAATCCTGCTCAAAACCTTAGAAAGCATGTTGACGTCAATGTGATTAAGAAATTTCAATCTGGAATTGATTAAGTTGTTTTGAGTGATTGTAATACCAGCACTATCTTTAACTAATTATCTTTAACTAATTATCCCGCTAATTAAAGTCGGTAGAAATTTAATATTGGAATGTTGAAATCCCAAATGTTGGAAGAATTCTGTATGTAAATGTTCTCCAATCATTTCGAAACTGTGTGATATATCAGTAAAAAGTATGATTACTTGCAATGATAATGATACCTTAATTACTACGATTCATTTATTTCAGTCAAAAAACTTAAATCACTGAACAGAAACTGTATTTATATTGGTAGGATGGTTGATAGACACTACATATTCACTACGTTGGAAGGCATACGTAATTACAATGACCACAAAATAAGCTATAACATTAAAAATCATGAGATAAACTAGTCGCGTCCACTTGAAAAATTACATATAATCTGCAAAAACTATTTCTAAAATTTATTTCTCGTTATTAAAGATGAAGTGTGTCCACGGAGGTCACATTATTGAGATTTATACTTTCTAGCTGTTCCAGACATAAAATAAAATAACATTAGCAATTAGTACAAGTTTCCCTATGCGATTGCGAAGTTGAGTTAGACCAAAAGATTTGAGGGTAACCATCATAGACTATTCAAATGACAGCATATATATATCGTTGAACGATTATGCATGTAGTTAGTCATATAGTTAGTTCATAAGGTCTCAGGTAACTGGGGTAGCGATCATATTAACGGGTAAGAAATATATAAGAAATGCTAATTACAATCTTAAGTAGCAGTGATCAGAAAAATCATAGTAAAATAGTCCTATGTTAGCTTGGCATAGTAGGTTCAAGAGGATTTGGAGATAAAACATTCCATGAAATTGATGCTACATAATATAAAATTCTTCTTTGTAATTTAGTCTTGATGATTTTTGCAGGCACAGTCGCAGGCACATCGTTTCACTCTTTTGTGGCTCTTCTGGCTTTGCGGCTCTTCTGATTTGTCCTCGTTGTCAATGGAGCGTCGTGGACGAATCACTATGTCACATAAAAAATCCTTGAAATTAATCCACTCTTTATAATTATGCGTAATTAAGGTATGCTATCAAAAATGCGTGTTTAATGTTTGCACTTAAACGTAACTAAAGTTGCTGCAATATTAAACAATTGCATGGTTTAATTGATCATTATGGGAAAATAATGACAACTCGTGCACATGAGGCAAGGTCTCAGGTGGGGAAAATGTCATTGGAACGATAATTTTAATGGCTTTGAAGCAACTTAAACCAAAGCAATTTTTGGATTCCAGCATGATGAAAAGAACGTACCAAATTGGCCATGTTGGAAATGAGCTCGTGGCATGATTGGGACTGGGTGTGGGAGAGCCCTTTCTCTAAACTCGGAGGATTGCGGGTGGAAGAAAATGGGTCCTGGACCTGAAGGATTGTTGTTGGACGAGTCATCCAAGTTGTTGTTATTTCCTTGATGTGGAACAAGCACTGGAATCAAATGGGGAGGAATTCCGAGAGAACTAAGAGGTCCAAAGTTATTGTTACTCTCTTGTGCTTGTTCGTCTTGTGGGGGTTGGACAAAAAATTGGTGGTGCTGTTGTTGTTGGTAGTGTTGGGGTGGGCCTTGCTGTTCCATCTGATTAAAAAAGTGGAGTGGAGATTGGTGAGATTGTCTCTGGAACTACAAAGTTGTATATACATATTTAGTAAATATTGATAAAACAAAATAAAAAAGGCCAAAAATCATTCGTGACTCACTTCTCCGGAAGGAGGTCCCTCTTGATTCATTGGAATTGGTCCGATGATGTGGACAGGGGCAGATCCTGCTGCTGCGAGGGCAGAGGTGAGAAGATCTCGGAGTGGAGAACTCTGCTTGGAACTTGCGAAAATGTTTAATCGCTGCTGTTGTGGATTGCTTGCATGACTTGGATTCGGCTGTGGGGCTTGGGGCATTCGTCTGTGGTCGTTTCCACTGTCGCAAGAAATTGCCATTTTCTCCCCGGTGAAGTGGAGGTAGCGCGGATCGGTGGTCATGTTGATGCCCAACAAGGCCGGGAGTGGTTTGGACTGCTCGTCCACAATCTCTTCGGCTTTCTTCTTCTCAATCACGCAATTCATGTGGGATGATCTGTGATTCCGTTCGAAGATGTGCTGTAAAAATTCACAAGTTTAAGCATCGTTATTTTTATTGCTTACTTATTTAAAACCAATCTAACAAAAGGATATTAAACATTATTCGCTCTCCAAATTTAGCGACAACAACGCCAAATTTCTAGAGAGATGTGTGCTCGGTTAGAATTAAATTTAGATTAGAAAGTCATCCATAATAGTGATGTGTGAGCAGTTCCATTCTCAACTGATCTGATCTGCATAACAAATTGAGCGACAATAAAGTGTCAAAAGTCATGTAGCATCAATCAAGCACAATAGCTGGCAGAAAGTGAGACACAATTACGACGGGTCTTGAACAGGGTTACTTACTTACTCATTATTGCATTATTGGATATGACTCGAGTTTAAAAACCTCTCCTTGGAAAATACAAGGGAACAAAGTGATTTCACATCTTTATTATCATAAGTATTTCAATGCATGAGCTTATTCATGAAATAAATATGAAGTGACATGGTTAACACTGCACAGGATTTCATACATCCTTTGAACTAAGCTACATAAATAAGTACTTAACTGCACATTTGCGATGCACTTTATCGATAATGAGTGCAGCTGTGACTCGTTTCTTATTATTTTATTATGACTATGAGAAAATTGAAAGGATGCAGATATGAATAAGATTAATGAACGCATGCACCAACATTTTCTTGCACGAAAGCGTGGGAGTACTTGCTGCGAAATTCTATCTTAAAAATTGTTTTGGTTCTCCAAAATGTTGTTGTGGATTTAATTGACTAATTTATTTATCCATTCAGTCATCCGTTCGCCGTCCAAGTTATAAATTAAACTCATTGCAAAGGTGATTATAAAACACACTGTTTGTCGATTCCCTTGGGGAATGGGAGAGAGGGGAAGAAAATGGCAAGACAATAAAAGCCTGTCTATACAACAATAAAGCATTCTTTGTGTTTTTTCCACAGATGAGAACTCATGCAGTTGTTTGAGAATTATTTGTAAATATTTCACAATTTTGATCATGTCCAACAACCATGGTATAATTTAATCACGTTTTTTTCTACTATTTCAGTCTATGTATGTACGTAGTACGCATGCCATGCTTAAATAATAATAACCACATCTACTTATCTACGTGAGATTGACGTGAATAAAAGTGATGAGTTGTTCTAGTTAAGATGATTATCAAAAACAAAATACAATAAAATATAATATCGAACTATTTTTGATAATTTTTGAAATAGTTTTGTCATTCAGAGCCTTTCTAAATAATTGCAACATTCAGAAATTGCCAATGTTACAATTGTCACATATGATAAAAATTGGTAAAATAATTTCCCCACTTTACCAGAATTAAGGACATGTAGGTATGTACAGATTTAGGTTTGACAGACAAAGATGACCATGCCATTTTCAGATTTAGCCAAATTATAATGAATGATTTGTCAATATCCGTGCAAAGATAACATTGACAATACGGATAAAAATAATGCATGCATTGTGAGATTTTATGCTTGCATTCAGTTTTCTTAGTACAGATATGGATTCGTGCTGAATAGAAAAGTAATGTGGACTCACTTCCTGAAGATTCAGCTCCAACGGAAGTTTGATCATGGTCACTCCGTCGTCACCTCCCTCCGAACTGTTGTCCTCCTCGGAAGATACGTCCTTGTTCAGATTGTTGTTAGTCTCTCCCTTGTTGATATTGTCCACCTTGCTTTCCGCCAAGTCCAGATCGCCTGACCCTCCCGTCGTGGTGGGTGCAATGGCAAGCAAGGACTTCAAATGCTCCGGTTGTAAAAGAGCTTCCAGCTAAAAAGATATATTTACATACTTATTGCAAAATATTTAAGTACAGCAATTCTCCAGCCGTGAAAATCTTGCAGCTCTTTTTTGGCTAAATACATACGTCTTACTAATTTGCATTCTTGGTTGCACACCCAGAGTAAAGTACCACTAATTGTGTTGCACCAAACATGCATAAAAACCCATATGCATACATAAACTATTCTTAGGTGGTACATGATGAGGAAGTTTTTGGCATTGGCAATTACCCAAAAATATCAACTTCAAGGATAAACGTGAAGAAGTGCATACGTAAACAACTGAATGTGCAGATAATAATATTGCATGTTGCATTATTCCAGTAATTATCCTAACGAAACTAAGCAGATACTTGTATAAATATTTCGTGTTTTGTTCTTGTCATCTATCACTCAGCACATGCCGGATTAAAGATTAATGGCGATCTTCAAGACCGTACGTTTCTCACACTACTCCAGGCTGTACTTGAAAGGTTTTTAATTTTTATTGTTATTTTTATTGTAATGCAGCTGCAACAAAGAGAAAAAATGCGTTTCGTTATTGGGAGGGAGTGCTGCTGAGAGATAGCTGAAATTTCTTTCGTGGTTATTTATTTGGTTAGCTCTCTGTCAACCTTTAGGTTACATATTTCATATTTATTATTGAGGTACATGCACACCAGCAGAGTTGTTTTGAGCTAGCAGAAGATGCAGCCTTGCAAACAATCCTTTTTTTCATAACAATCTAAAATTTCCACAAGAATAGAATGCACTTGTCAACATCGCCCCTCGCACAGAAACAACAATAAAATAGCAACACTGCTGCCACGCACAGATTTATAAAAGGTGAATGCGAAAGTAGTAAATTTAAATCTACTTTGTGAAATTCTCAGAGAAAAACGAGAAAAAGTACATTTATCTAAATATGAAAAGTGAGAACATTTTATTTACGATAAGAAAAATACGACTTTTACTAGGTGCATGATAAATTAAAAGGTTTACTAATATTTTTGCAATAAATGGATGCAATTAATCAGTTTAGCGACATTTTTCGCAATAAAAATGGACACTGAACTTACCACTGGGATAGCTTGTGAAGACTGTTGCTGCCCCTGTTGACAAGATGAGATCTGGATCCATGCAGAAAATACGATCGCGATTGATAACATCGCCGCGATTATGACGGCTGCCAACGCAATTATCCTCGTCACTTGGACCGTCGTAGAGTGTTGACTTTGACGATAAGCCTGAAAGAGTAATGTAATTTGCATCGTTAGTAAACAAATTAGAGCTAGTTTTCATTCATGAAAGGAAAATTGTGTGTACCTGACGCTAATTAATAATGCACATTTGTCACACGCTTAAACTGACTTTTGCACATTTATTATTATGAAACAAAAGTGTCAACAATTTTAAACAATTTTAACAAAAGGTCCAAATTAAATTTAAATCCACATGCATTATGTCGTTCGTGTCATTATTCCTAATTTTCTCACATGTCACGACATTCACTTTTTCCTTTCAGATATTTAACTGCATGATTAAAATCTTTCTCATTTCTCCCTCGTCTTAAAAAAAGAGTTAATTATCAGCACCATTACCTTCGTCGTCATCATACCCACCATGAGAAACTGATCTATATTAACGTTAGGAGCTCAACACACTTATGTATTTATTTATTTATTTATTATTCCAAAGTGCATCCTCCTCCATGTCCTTTCCCTAATTATCTCCTGTGTCAACACTTACTTTTTAGAATGGCAGCATTGTATTGTCGTCTCTTTCAATTTTGAAAATATTAGTACGTTTATACGATGATGAAAAACTCTCGACAAATCTTTTGCATGATGCACCGTGCATCTCTTTCTCTCTTCAAATAATTTCGAAATTCATTTGGGTCCATTTCAAATCTGTGTATATGACTGCCCATCAATGCAATGGAGGGAGAGATGATGTTGATTTCTTGTTGTGTGATGCATGCTGTGAATTGTCTTGGATTGCAAAATTCATCCTCGAATATAAAACTGGGATTCATTCTCTCACTTTTTTTAAACCTGAGATGCCTATGACTTTACATTATTGGTTGAGTAAGCAGCCAGAAATAAGGCTAATTGGCACAAATTTGTAGTTTATTACACTCTGCAATTATCCTGAGTCGTCGTCAATTCTGCGCCTTGCATAAAAAAGGTAGCTCTACCAGGTCTCCTCCTCCTCCCTGCATTGTCAGCTAAATAGTTACTGAACAGTTCATAATACTGTTGCATAAGTTTTTCATGAGATTGTCGACATTAGAATTGCTTACTAGATAAATCTGAATATCCTTGTTATGGATGACTCTCACTAAAAACTACAATATTTTACGTATTGACTGTGTACGGAAATACCTACGTAGAGATGGATGCATTCAGTAGCTCGGGTGGATGACCGCTGCTTGGTTAGTCATTCGAAATTAAAAATAGTGGTCATCTTTAAATTCAACAACTCAATTGAGTATTTATTTATGAGGAGTATTGTATTTCATAATATGCATGCATACACGAGTGTGGTGAGTGGTAGTGCCGTGCCGTTCTTTGTAATGGATTTAGGCAATAGACGTCATGTTTTCAAATAGGATTTTATTTTTAGTCGCATTTTCCTGAAAATATTTGGTTGGTGGTGATGTTCAAAAGTAACTGGTACATAGAAATATTTGTCCTAACGGATAATATAACGGCAGTTAGAATTACTTGGTGTTCATGCACGCAACAGGTTTCCGGATTTTGAAATGTACCAAATATTCCGTGTCTTTAGTATGTACTTACTTATTTGCATGGATATTACGACTGCTTAATTTCCAGTTTTTTATCAAAATAACCCAATTTATTCAACCTCACAGAATGAAACTGCATTTGCAGGAGGAGACAATGGATAATGGACAAGGAAGGAGGAACTAATCCAACTTTTTTCACAGAGTTACAATCGCTCTGAGGCAGTAAGTCACACGAACACTTACCAACTAACACCCTTGCAATTTACCCAGTCATAAAATAAATGAAGCAATGAGCCAGAACTTTTTGTGTGTAGAGTTAAAAACAATTGAGTTCTTTCTGTATGTTAGTAAAGTTTAGTAGTTTTGTGCAAAGTTGGAAACTGCAATTTGAAGGAAGTGAAATTGTACAACATTTACATTGTTCACAAGCGTGGAGTTCTCATTGAATAATTTGTAATTGCATAAATTGCATTTATAATCTCATATTGATTTAATCACAATTAAGTATATCCTAAAAGTCTCATTTATCTGCTGAGTTTGCACAAATTGAGGAACACGTTTGTAGTTTGGCTTAAAAGTTTGAAACATTTGTGAGAAAAATTACAGATTTTGACTAAAGAATGTAATCATTTTAGTACTATCTGAAAAATTATGCTTAATTGGACTCCTGCTTTTAGGAAAATTGAAACGATGAAAAGCATTATAGACAAAAAGAGCAGTGCTTAAAAGATTGCAAATATGTTACATGTGTGAAATTTTATGCCAAGTCAAATTGCGGTTTTTCATCATCTCAGCAGCAGCAATCACATCAAATAAAATTGAGTCAAACAACGAACTCAACAGTTAAAGCTACCCCTTCAAAATTAGACTCGGACACGGTTCACCAACGCGATAAAATGAAAGTGAAACACTCACTCCATGGATGCAAATTATAAGAGTCATTCGTACGACATAAAATTCTATAACTGATTTTTGACCAAAATGCTTGAGCCAGCAAGAAATAAGTGTAGTGCATGCACGAAATATTAAATTACACTTTGCATTATAAGCTTTCATAAACGCTAATCTCCGCTCTGATCGATTTTCATTCTTTCAAAAAACCGTGGAAGGACATTGAGCATATTTTTATTATGTGGGCCCAGCAGACTCGTGCGATATGGGGAGGAAGGAAGTGAAACTATCAAAAGTCATATATAATCGAACAGCAAATCCACAACTTATCTTATCTGACCTTCACCTTATGAATAGAAATTACAACTTCCTTCTCAAAACAAATTTGTTAAACCAAACTCAAACGAAGGTTCAAGAAAAACCACTTTCTATTCATTCATCATCATCCGAACGCTCTAGTTTGCTCAGAGTGATGTGATTTAAATGAATTTAAATTGGTGTACAGTAATAATTTCTGCAGTAACAAGTCAGGCAGAGTTAGACCACAGATATGTATGTGTAGCAGGTCCAATGCAGTTTAAAATTATCACACATCACACTATCCAAGTGCATCACCACATCATAATAATCAGGGTTTGGAAGGAGTCAAATCGATCGCCCAGAGATGAAAGTGCTACTAAACGGCGGCTGCATTGAGCATCTTTTTGATCTGATATCATTCAACTGTCCATTATGCATTCACATGTCGTTGAGCCCATGCAAGTCTACGTAGACCGAGGAGAGCTACGCAACGCCATAATTTTGCAAAGGATTCAAAGTATAAAAACATCTAAATTGCACGCTTAACAAATATGTGCTCATGTACGTACGTCGCGTTGCGGCGAGGAGATTAATAGTTATGTAGGCGCATATATTTAGGGATGGCAGAAATAACTAAACTGCATCGTGTCAGAATAGGGATTGAGTTAGTTAGTTGGTTGAGAGAGATTAAGACGAGATTGTCATTATTCGAATCTTCGAGACTCTGTTTGCTCGCTGGTGTAAGTGAAAATCCTGCAAGTTGTTGATGAGAAGAAGAAGAAGACGCTGCTGTGGTGTTGTGTATGCAATGTTCAGAATGGGAGACCACTTATTGCTTCTTCCCAGCATGCTTTGTGGTTATTTGTCGAAGTGCAAAAGAGGTGCTCTTGATGTTGTTTGGTTGGCTGAGGCTTGAGAAAAGGATCACAAAAAGAAAGGAAAAGTTGGGTTATGTGCTATTTATGCTGACAACCAACCCCTATTACGGGTGGATTTCTAATTTTATGCACATTTTCAATTCTTGATGTCCTCCGTTTCTACGAGTCATGAATCGATCGTGATGATTCCTTGGTGTGAAGGGGACACTTTTTTTTAGCTTCTTTTCATGATACGTTTTCATGCGTCAAGAGAGAGAGAGGAGAATCGCATCTTGCAGGAAGTTATATGCCACCAAATAAATGAAAATTAATACAAGCTCCTAATTTGGAAGATTGTTATTACCGTTCGTCCGTTGTGAAGGACGCGATGGGTGCAGTTTTCATAGATATGTGTGCATGCATTGTACATAAAGGGTCACCTTACGAGTGAATGCAATCTGCCCATGTTACAGTTGGCTGGACATCAACAAGTAACTTATTTCAGAGGCCAGTTACCAAATAATAAGAAACCATTATGTCACTTCCAAGTCATAAAAACGACCACCTAGCCAGAAATATCCTTGACAAATAACGGGACTATGAAACGAGTGGACAACAAATAACTGGACTTGAAGCTTTAAATAGTAAAAATTTAATGGGATTATTATTGCATATGAGTCGAGTCGAGTATGTAATAATTCATATCTTTTGGTTAATAGTTTTTAATGCTTGGATATATCGCCAAGTAAAATTCATGGCATGAATTTCATGCAACATGCACAGTTGTCTCAAGTGTAAAGCGTACTGATGTTTGTAGCTACTTTGGGAAAGGGTTGTTAAACAAATCGAAAATAAATATTTACCGGTGGAGGTTCCTGATAATCCATGGGATTTCCGTACTCCTTGACATTCACATTGACCGTGGTCATGGAGTCGGTGTCCGAAGTGTCCATATTTTTCTCCTTCTCCATGTTCATCCCAATATCACAATACAAGAGGAAGGGGTGTGGTTCGCAACAAACTCTTCAAGCCACACGGGTACAAAATATGTAGCAATGTGAGACAAAAAATAAAATATTTATAGCACAGGATGGAGAAGACTTTATCAGATAACACTGGTTCACTTGGTCGATGCCAAAGACCAACTGAGGTGAAGTGAACAAAGACTTTGAAGCCCAAGGTAGTTTGTGCGTGTGAACGGCAAATGCATCAATTTTACATAGCTTGCAATATCACAGAAGGGGTTGTACATATGAACATAAAACGTAAGCCAATATTATGTTGATGAGGTGAGGGAGTTGTTCGTGAGTGACTGCATATTATAACGAACTAGCATTACACATTGGATGGATGAAAGGGAATGTTTTGGGGGTAATTTTGCATTAACTTTACTTACCACAGAATATTTACAACGAAGGATTGGTTAGCCAACAACACGTAGAGGAAAAACAACCCTTCAATTTCGATCTGTTGGGGTCGACAAATAAAGACCAATAATGACTGCCGAACCATAAGAGTGAGCCACGAGATGTATGCATTTACATTCAATAAGTGAATGTACCCTTGAGGTCATGTCATGCTCGTGCTGATGATGATGATCACTCAGGTTAATGGATCTTCTGTGCATCAAGTACAAATAGAGTGCAAGCATAACAAGTTGACGTTGCTTTTTCCCAAATTTGAATTCACAAATCAATGATTAACTTGTTTTGGTATAAATAAATATGTATTAAAAATATAAACATTTAGTCAAAGACCAATCAAGCCTGTGGATCATAATTGTGACCCATTTTTTCCTCGTAATGACTTAAATTTGAGATTTAGTTTTCGCAAATCAAGGGTGCTAATTTCTACTCAAAGAAAATTCACCAACCTGACAAAAGCAATTAAGAGTGGCTTATTCTTGTGGGTTAAATGAGTCGAGTATGCATTGCATTACAGAACCCGACTTTCCTCCGTGCGATTTAATTTAGTTTCGTCGAATTGTGTGAGATCTGCTAAAAAAGAAAATGAAATCAATGCATGAAGATGTACAAGTCGGCTGATGCTCTGTTGAAGAGAGGATTGAGATTTGGTGTGAGATAGTGTTGTTTTTGAAGGTGGCAATAATGGGTGGCATGTGGCACATCACGATTTATTTTACAAATTATCTTCAAAAGTCTATTTCTTCACAAAAGTACACGCAGTTCAGACTGGGTTTAAGGGTTTTTAAATAACGTACACCATTCCTAACACTTCTTGCATTGCGTGGAGGAGCCTTCTTAATTGCAGAGCCATGAAGTGCATCAAACTGAAGAAAACGAAATAAAAGTTAACCCAGATAATGCACCACCGTCTTCTTATTTTCATTTACCTCGGCGTTGCTTGTCATGCCCCAGCACTTCACTTCTTTGAGTCATCTCATCGAGAAAAATTACAAAGTTTTCTAAAGTTGGGCAAATTTGCAAATAAAATGGTTGTAAATGAGGGAAATACCAGCGATTATGGAATTGACATGTCATCCTTCATTACGACCAACCAACTAATGCTCGGCTCATTTATTTGTTGACATATCACTGTTATCATGATGCACACTGAATCTTTCATATCTCTCTAGTAGTCTGCCTAATTTTACAATTTTGGAGACTCTGAAAATTGTCTCGACTTACTCACTTTGCATGTAAAGCAGCCACAACAAAGTGTACACTTAATCATATACATAAGCACTCTGATTCTCTAGATCAAATTGCTGTCATCAAGTTTTATCATTTTCTCAGACTTTCCCCATAATATATAAAAACTGTCATATCGCAATTCATGATAACCACTCGAGCGTAGAAAGGGTTGTATTTGATTTGATATTTTTAAAGTCCAATGATACAGGAAAATTAAATCTAAATATGAAAGAGATAATTTCTGCATGCATTGCATTTTTTTGGGATTTACCATACTTCCTGTGCACACACAAGGTAGAAATTTAGGTAGGTTTGCATACAATCTTATAAACAGTTTGGTATTTTGAATAAATATTTTAATTGAAGAGCCACAAATTGACTGCTCTGATTCAACAAGAGACCATATTAATACATTATTGACAACAACAATTGTCTGCTTTTTTGGCAATTGTGAGACTAGAGTCGATTGTATTTCATTCGTTAAGAAATTTGTACTTGATTCAATTCGGATGAAGTGGAACATTCGTTTTACTTTCAAATACGTAGATTCAGCAAAATTGAAAGCCTTTTAAAAATAAACTCTCAAACTGCTCAGTATTATTGATTACCTAAATACATACGACACTAATATGAATAGTTAGTTAGTTAGTGCAGGATTTAGATTGAGAACACACATTTAACCGAATTGCATACCATTACACTCAATGTCTGCCAGTCGTCGTTGTCAACTTTGTGAAGTTATGTATAGTTAGTTAATACGAATGCTTTAACGCTGCATGAAATTTAAGTAAATGAGCTGAAAAGCTAAATTTAAATGGGAGCAGAGCACAGGATGTTTGAACGAGCTCATTTTCTCTACTAAATAACAATAACTGCCGTGTTGTTGACGGTAAAAGGTAGTTGTAATTTATATGTAGCTTGTAAGTACATTTATTTTATCAAAGTTAATAAATTGATACTCGGCACGAGAACTGTCAGAATTTATGGAAATGTAGAACTGCAGTGGAAGAATGATGAATTAAGTGATGCTAAAATATTGTGATCAAATGACCGGATATCGAGAAAAGTTGCGCAACAAAGGATTTGCATGTGTCAATTTCAAATAAAATGCTTCGTGCTTTTAACACACTTAGCGTCCATATTAGAACATTGTACAAATCCGACTCAATTTTATGCAGGTTGCGTGTTACGTGCAGTAAATTCTGATCAGTTTAATGAGAAAGGGTATGGCAAGTGGTCGCGGACTGTCTGCGGAAGGATCCGCATATATGCCAACCCTAAAAGAACTGAACCAATTTCCAGATTTCAAACGGAAATACAAAATTGACGACAAACTCGAAGTCAAAATACAGCATGATCATGCTTGGTATTTACGAATTATCTTTGATTTGATTTAGTAGGCGACTTATGACGGATTGCTCCGTCATAGTCACCCGGACAAAAACATATATTTTTCTCTATCTCAACTGGAGGAGTCGAATACATATTACAACTCTTCTGGTCAAGCTCAACTCCACAGAGGACAAAATGTGGTCAAATTTTACTCTAATTTATCTTCCACCGGAACATAATTTAACTCGAAATCATGTTTCAAATTGTGTAAGAATTATTCTAGAAATAGATAATGCAAGAAAATTTTCATTTGTGCACTTATTGTAATATAGTTATCGTATTTCTATATTTTGTGAAATGATCACAGCATATAGTGAGACGAGACGAGTGAGACGACAAGTGAGCTCTTTTCTTTTTAAGAAATAAAAATAAAAATATTTGTTTTGTCAAATAATATCTGTTTCATAATAACAAAACAACAATCCCGTGCGGCTGGTAAAAGAACAATTACCGGATGAACATACTTACAGTGTCGGACAGATGTCTACGTCCACATAGTCGCGTCAATTTCATTTTCAAATTGTCACTGAACTACTGAACCAATTTTCATCATTGATATATCAAATTCTCACAAATTTAACGTAATTTCATAAAACATATGAGTTATTTCTGAAAATTCTGGGAAAACTGAGAATCATAGTGCAGACCGAGAGAGGATGAAATTTGAGCGGACAAAAGTCTACGTCCACTTCACTTTAATTGTCAACAACAAAAATCTCTCCAATTTATAAAATCAGGTAACTTAATAAATCTATCAATAACATATGCCGCCAATATTAATTTTTAAATAATTTTCTTCCAGAAAAATATGATGGCGTCGACACGCAAGGAAATTCCTATCGCTATTCGAGATCTTGTCATTCAGGACTGGAAGGGTGGACAAAAAGGGGGCTGTCGCAGAGACAAATATGGACCAAGTATAAATTAGCAAGGACAACCATCCAGACAATCATTAAGAACTTTAAAGCTAATGGTTCAGTCCAAAACAAGGTCAGAAGTGGTCGAAAACCCATTTTGGCTCACCGAGAAGTACGCCACGTGCTCAACAAAGTCAACGTTACACCCTCACTTAGTGCTCCAAAGCTATCTACCGAGATCACGGAGATGTTCGACAAACAAGTTAGTCCTAGGACCATCCAAAGAACACTGAACAAGGGAAATTTGAAATCCCACAGAGCAGTCCGGAAGCCTCTTATTGTACCGAGGAATGCAACCAAACGAGTGAAGTTTGCCAGAGACCACATTTCCAAGCCACAAACATTCTGGGACATATTTTATGGACTGACGAGTCAAAGTTCAATGTCTTTGGGTCAGATGGGCGTCGTAGAGTGTGGAGATATCCAAAAGAAGCGTTGAATCCAAAAAATCTCAACCCCACAGTTAAGCACGGCGGCGGGTCGGTAATGGTGTGGGGATGCATGGCTTCAAGTGGGGCAGGAAAAATGGAATTTGTTGACGGAATTATGGACCAATACAAGTACCAGGGAATACTTGACCGTAATATCAAGGAATCTGTTCGAAAACTTGGACTTGGACGACGATTTGTCTTCCAACAAGACAACGATCCGAAACACTCTGCCAAGTCCACCATGGAATACTTCAAGAAAAAAAAATTTCGAAGCTAGAATGGCCTCCCCAATCTCCAGACTTGAATCCCATTGAGCATCTGTGGGACCACATTGAAAGAGAAATAAGAAAACAATCTTTTTCAGGAATTCCGGGCCTAAAATCCAGAATTCTTGAAGTTTGGGAAACCATTTCTGAAGATGTGACCAAGAATTTGGTAAACTCTATGACTCGACGCCTTGAATCCGTCCTTAAAGCGAACGGAGGCCCAACCAAATATTAAAAATTAATTGTTATAACATTCCTTATAAATTACAGTTTTTTTTGTATGTTTTCTCTGACTGGACGTTGACTTTTGTCCATCCAATTGTTTTCATTTTGAATTAAAATACATCTCTGGCCTAAAATAAATTTTTTAGCGGAAAACTAATAATGTGCTATGAAATTACGTTAAATTTGTGAGAATTTGATATATCAATGATGAAAATTGGTTCAGTAGTTCAGTGACAATTTGAAAATGAAATTGACGCGACTATGTGGACGTAGACATCTGTCCGACACTGTACATAAGTACGGTTTGCCCAACTAAATAAATTGACGTTCGGCACGAGCATAGATCGTAGAACGAGTAATAAAATGTAGAATTGCAGCATGACTAGAGATGAAGGAGGCTAAAAAATACTGTATTGGAATCGTAAAAATATAATATAATAAAATCGGTCGTATAGAAAAACTTCTTATCGAAATCGTACCTAATATTATGTGGTGTAAAAATAATGACGTGCAAAATCTTGGTACTTTTTTAGTTGGCTTTATTTCCGTTTCTCAATGTGACACGAAAGACGTGGACTTGCATAATGCTTTACACAATCGGATAATTCACCTCGCACTGATTATTGTTGATTTAAACCATGATTAAGCTCTCATTAATAGAAGATTATTACTTCTAATTTAGAAGTTCTAAACATAATTTGATGCTTTATTTACAAGTTGGGTTATTGTGGTTTGGCATAGTAAATAAGTCGTTTGGATTATAATGGATTGTCCCCATAAAAATGTGGACATGAGAGGTTCGAAAAACTTGGGGACAGCTTTCGAGCACCGCTTCCTCCGCACTCTATCGCCCAGCGCAACCTGGCACGTGACGACGATTTCCAATTTACAGCGCTTCTCTTGCCCCATCCACTTTTGTTTGGTTGGCCAAAGGCCATATTACACAACTCATCCACCACAACCGAGTAGTGGGAACTTTGTTCACGTATATTATTCTCCGTCGTGCTTTTCTCAATCACTAAATTACCACTGTTGCTGAACTCTTATCTTTTTCCAAGCTACTACGAAATTAACACGAAATTGTACTGCCAGTCCTCATCCTGACCAGAAAAGTAGCAAGGAGGACACAAAAGCAAGAAAGATAAAGTTCATCAGCAGTCAGTAGAAAATCATTATTCGTCCAATTAAATTTTCCTAAAAATTATAATGTGCTTTAAAAAAAATACGTAAATTTGAAATTTAAGTGTACCTGGAAGTTATTTAATTTTAACAAAATTTCAAGCGAGTTATTAATAATAATAATAGTAATCAGAAAATAAGTAAAACTCCAATAGCTTCGTGGTAAGTGGGTGTGCATTGTTTTGGAAATTTGTAACATATTTTGCCTGGTTGTTTAAATTGTAATGTGAATTATAAGTAAGTTAAGCTATACTAGGTTAGTTGGAAGTTTTAATTGTAGAGTTAATTTTAAATTAGCTGAATCTATTGAATCATTGTTCAATTGTTAGGTTGGTGGAGGTCACTGCAGCTTTGCAAAGCAAATGTGTGATTGTTTTTATAACAATTGTTTATGTGCCATTAGTTGAGCTATAAAATTATTTGTAAACTCGTCCAATTGAAACCGTTATGTAGGAATCATGAATTATCGATTGATTTAGACGAGTTCGAATCAAGAATATTGCAAATATTGAGATTAGAAAGGACAAAATTTAGAAGAATAGATTTCTTAGTGCAAGCTAGTTTATAAAGGTTGATTAAAATAGTAATTAGATTACGATTTATGTATAATTTTTTATTTCTTTTTGTACAGATGGATTTGGGGGAAGAAATGGATGATCAGGACCAGGAGCCAGTAGACTTTTCCAGTCCTGAAAGTCCTGCGTCTCCATTTTCTCCAGGGCCCTCAGTGGAAACGCCACTGCCTATCTTATCGTTCTACAACAAGTCAATCACTGCAGAGAAGTTAGCAGATTTAAGCGTCAGCGACTTGTATGAATATTGGATGCAAAAATTTGAAAGTGGGCAACTCAATGAACAATCCACCCTGGAAATGATGAGAGAATATTGGATAAAAATTGTTCCTCATGTGTATAAACTGGAGGCTAATCAAGACTGTCTGGCACCATTTAAGGAAGCTGAAGATATGGTAGAAAAATTCTTGATTGAACCATTAGCGTGGTTTTTAACTCAAAGTGAATGTAGCTCAGATTTCCTTACGCAGGTACAATATTCTTGTGAAAATTTTGACCAAGGAGCAAAAAATTATACATATGTCTAATAATTTGAACGTTTTTATGAAATATTTTATAGTATCTTGCGGTGCGAGACAATCCTCCTACTGTTTGCGGTCGAGTATTTCAAGTGGGCGAAGCAACCTACTCTTGTCGACAATGCGGAATGGATCCCACGTGTGTTCTTTGTGCTGATTGTTTTAAAGACTCAGAGCATAAGACTCACAAGTGAGCTTATAGTGATTAAATATAGCAGTTGTTTTATAGAGAAGATACACTGTTGGGTAATGATTAAATTCTTTCCGTTTCTGCAGGTATAAGATAGCTACGTCTGCTGGAGGAGGATACTGTGATTGTGGTGATCCAGAAGCATGGCGAAGTCATGTGCATTGTAAATCTCACACGCCAAATCCTCACAAATTCAAGGACGATAAGAATGAGCAGCATGAGGGATTCGATAAAAGAGCCAGATTGATACTTCCCGCATTACTTTTATATTCGTTTGAACTCACTGCTAACGAATTAGATCGTCACTTGCCGTCCTCCTTGACACTTCATGAGGATAAAAACGCTGATGACCAAATTGGATATCCCTTGTTTTGCACAGTCCTCTATAATGATGAAACCCATACTTTCGATCTTGTCATCCAAACCCTAACACGTGCTCTTCAATGCAGTAAGAAAGATGCGATTGAATTTGCAACCACCATTGATCGCGAGGGAAGAAGTATTGTAAAAGTCGGTGGGTTTAATGTGAGTTGTAGATATTTTTATCATATTATCTGTTCTGAAATGGTTGAGTTTGTATGCTTATCGATTACTTGAATCTATTTCCAACAGCAATGTCATGAGGCTCAAAAAATAATCGAGCGAAATACCGCTGGAAGGGGTCCCAACACAAAGTCATTAAAATGTTCTGTGGTAAAACGAGAGGTTGTTCAGCATCAAGCGTTTGCTCTACGATTACTCTCATGGGTTGAAGTCCTATGTACACATAGTCTGTCGATACGAACGATAGTTCAAAACGTGTTCTATTGCAAAGGGGTAAGTTTAAGACTTACAAATTTAGTGCAGTCGATCTGTATATTTATATAAGCACATAACTCATTTCCTGATTCTTATATTTTTACAGGAAGGGTTGGTTCTTTGCTCTGATACGTCAAAGAATGCGTGGCTCGTGGATGCCGTTATGTTAAATGACACGAAATTGTGGAAGGCTGCCCGCAGTTGTTGGCACAGGTTGATTATTGCTGGTCTTTTAAAAGAGTATGATTCAAAGAAGACGTTTGCGGAGGTGTTTACTCGGGAATACGCTTCAACTATGGATGATTTTATTCGAGATGACCACGATCATTCGTATTCCGTCACTTCCTTATCCGTCCAAATTTTTACAGTACCTTCAATTGCTCATTTTCTTGTTGAAAACCAAGATGTTATTTACACTATACTTCGTGTGCTGCTTGCACAATGTGACTCAAGGGTTAATGCAGGTAATACTGAATAAAAAATTGTATTTATGTACGTCATACATATTTAATATTATTATTATTGGTAACGTTTTGTGGGTTTATTTGTTAGCTGGTAAACTAGAGTTTGATAGAGGTGCTGTCGTTGCTACAACATCCTTCAAGCGGACCAATTTCGCCATCCTAGACTTGAAGTACATTCTGACAAATCCTCCCATTTCTTGGTCTGCATTAATGGTCAAGAATTTCACTAATGGAATTGACTCGTTTTTAAAGTTCTTGTCGTATATGCAGGTGTGTTGTAATTTAATATCTTAATTTGTATTTATATCACCCATATTCAATCGTTGATACAATAAAAGATGCCTTTCTTTGTTCGTTAGGAAATGGATTCTGTAACTCGACAAGTTGGACAGCACATGGAATACGAACCGGAGTGGGAGTCAGCTTTCAATCTGCACATAAAATTACAGCCAGTGGTTCAGTTATCATTGGAATGGTGTGGATTAAATAAGCCTGTGTTCATACGTGCCTTCAGGTTTGCATATATTTACAACATTAGAATTAATGAATCATTAACTTAACGTAACATCAAGGTTAAACTTGTTAGCTAATTGTCCAATACTTTTATTTGTATGCATTTTCAGACATTGTCTCCACGATCTTTCAAAGGCTTACGAAGTTCTGAAATCAAAGTCTACAACACTTGAACTTGCCAACCATTCAGCTACTTGTTATGTTTACGACGTTGCCACACAGCCTGTCTCTGTACACCTGCCATTAACGAGATATTTTTCGGGATTATATCTCCACTTGCAAGCATTTGAGTTGGATTTTTTCTCTTCAGAATTTAACCTCACTGAAAAGCCGGTTCCAGAAATGATAATGGAACCTGCACTGCGAACACAAGTGCTGATTGCTCAGGTTAGGATATTAGGAGATTTACTACTGTAGCTACATTCCCTTGGTTTTATCGCTATTTATATGCTGTAAAATTTATAGGTAAATGCATCAATGTGGAAGCGAAATGGATATGCCCTTCTGAACCAGCTTTACTTTTACCACAATGTTCGTTGTCGGGCTGACATGCTCGATAAGGATATTATTACCTTGCAAATTTCTGCGTCTGTTATTGAAAGCAATGAATTCCTAATTCATGTAATTAATCGATTTGGATTGTACCAATGGATCCTCACGGGATTTGATGAGAAGGTATGCAATCTAGCGTTTTTACTAAATACGTTTCTTATGAATATGAGTTGTAACTCATTCAATAAATAAAAATCAGGCACTGAAACCAGAAGGTCAAGAAGAAGATTTTAGCAAGTATTTGGGTACCTTGACTGAGGAATTCCTTGGTCTCTTAATTACGCTGGTTTCTGCTCGATTTACGCCGGGAGTTGGTCAAGTAAGTTTTGCTAAATAAATCATTCCCGTTAAACCATTTATAAATAATAAGTACACTGCATTTGTTACTTCCTTTTACAGGTCGAAAGAGCCAATACCATTAAAAAGGAAGTTATTCAACAACTCTGCATCGAACCGATGACTCACTCAATGCTAAACAAATCGCTTGTGGAAAATGTGAATTTAGAAACGGGTCTTGAACTTGTGATACATGAAGTAGCAAATCAAAAAGGTCCCACCCCACAACGGTCATCCGTTGTTTACGAACTAAAACCAGGTAAGAAATTGGCCATGTCATGGCGCGTGTGTGTTATGTTTTACACAACGGTGAAACGCATATGTAGGTAATTCTATAATTTTATTTAATGTCCACAGAGTTTTACGACGATTATGACGTGTACCACTACCATTATACAAGGGAAGAAATGTCAAAGGCTGAAGAAAGTCAGCGAGCAAGGAAGAAGGCTGCCAAAGAGCCAGAAATATTTCCACCTCCAAAGTTGCCTCCGTTTACTCAGATGTTCGATATGTTGGTCAACTTTTTACAATGTGACATATTTTTACATGTAATTGGTCTGGTGCTAAACAAGTAAGTTATTCATTATTTTTTTAACTTGTTGCTAATTTAAATTTTCACCTGTATTAATGTGCATGCAATTTATGATGTATAGGAGTCTTCAAAAGTCGAATCGTAACATCAACGAATCCTTAGTTCGGAAGGCACTGCATCTACTTGGGCATGGCCTTAATGAAGAAATTGCTCGGAATAAGAGGGAAGCGGGACATTACTTCCAATTTACTCATAATGCAGCTCGTTGGAATATTTTTGAAATTCTGGATAAAATGTTGCAAGATTCGGCTTTAAATCATCATCACAAGATGATTTTATGGCTCCGCAATCAGCACAGTGCAATCAAGCCTGATACATTTGAGACTCAGGCACCCTTAGTTGCTCAACCCGATGAAGAGGTAAAAAACTATACAACTATAGGAAATAGGATTAAAACTCTATCATGTTTAGAGTTAATAATTTGTGTTGTAATTTTGCAGGAGGAGAAGAAGCGAAAAGCAGAATTAATTAAGGAGGCGAAGGAAAAGATGATGGCTAAAATGGCTGCAGCTCAGAAAAAATTTATGTTGGTGAACAAAGACTTATTTTCTGAAGGTGGGTGAATAGGAAGAATATTTTGAATATATAAAATATATAGAATATTTTGTTCTATGCATTTGTAAACTACTCTTTAATTAATTTAATTACAACTTTACCTTTATTTCCAGAAAAAATTGGTGCTGAATTTGGGGAGGACGAGTTGGGAATCAATTGCGATACTGACATGAACCCTGTAGATACCATTGGGGTTGGACCTCGCAAACAAAATCCTACTCATTTGCCAGATGAAAAGTGCGTATTTATGATTTGTAATATTATTTACCTATAGTTGATGCTAATATATGGCAATGCTACTAAGCAATGAATGTTTTGTGACTCACAAAAGGTATATCTGCATTTTGTGTCAAGAAGAACAAAACTTAGCAATTGGAAATAAGCGCTTCGTTTTAGCGTGTTTCATCCAAAGATCGACCATGATGTCACAATATAGAGACAAGTTAATTGAAGAATCCACAAATGAATATCAGGGGACCAGACAAAACGAAATTTCTGCAGTAGAATTGATTAACCCACTTTACCTCAATCCCAACCTCAACACTTCCTCTGTAATGACAACATGTGGTCATATAATGCACGATCATTGTTGGTCAAGCCATATGGACACGGTTGTGAACAAGGAACGTCGACGTCCATATCGGTATGCTCAAATTTTATGAAAACATTACGGTTGTATGAAATGTCTGTCAACTAATTGAACATTTCAAATTCATCATGATTTAGGCTAAGACACCCACTTAGCTTTGATGTCGACAAACTAGAGTGGTTATGCCCAATGTGTGAAAGTATTTGCAATGCTGCACTTCCCATGGCCGTCCATCTGTCAAGAATGTATAATTTTTCGAGTGATTCTGCTTCAGAACCGGATAAATACCAGACAGAACCTTCTGGCTCATTTGATGTTTGGATGCATGGGATGCAGCTAGTGGTTCAGAACAAAGTCGTGTCAAAGAAGATGACTGCAACTGATGAGTATGATTCGTGGGCAAAAATCCGTTATGGGAGTTCCGACGATAATGTCATGTTTGGCCTAACGTCATCATCAAAGACCTTAATTGCTGGTACAATGGAACCCGATGACGGGGAGCATTTCTTGAAACATTGCCGAAGCCGTTCATATTTAGCCGATAGTGAGCACACCGTAAACAAATGGTTATATTCGGGATTTCATCCAATCTTTACAACCTTTATGATTAGAAATTATAATGTAATTCGATAAAATATAAATCACAACATTTTTTATCGTTCTAGTAAGTTTTTGGTCTATCTAATAATTTAATTTAACAGGCTGCACTATGCATTGAGTTGCCAAGAGAAGACGATTTCCGGCTGCTACTTTCGATATGGAATTGTCTTGCTTTCACCATCGTGTCTTCGGAGGCGTTTCATCGAGACCAGAATCTACCCTTCTTTGGTGATCAGGTTCCACTGCGACGAAATATTGGAATCAAGTACTTAACAAGAGCTTGTGCCGTTAACTCTGATCGTAATGGGTATTGGATCGAGGTAAGATGACACTTTTTAAACTTTTCATCTTATATGATTACACTATTGGGAGATCGATAAACGCAATATTACTCAATTCTTTTAGTACTCGAGAACGTTCGCAATTAGGATTCTTACCACATTACTAAATAATCGGCAACAGGATCCCACCTTGTTTGAGTGTGATGCGTTTGGACTACTTGTGTATCTTACGTTCTCGATGCCAAGCTTGTTTGTTTATCCTGAGAACGCAGGGGCGGAAGGCACAACGGAGGAATCATCTTGGACAGGGGAATACTGTCAGCCTCCATGTGGGAATCTTATTGTAAGAAATGTTCATATAATCATTATATCTCATAGTTTATTGTTAGTTATATTAGTTACAACAAAGAATTATTTTAAAACAATGAATTTCAGGATCATCACATTCTCCGTCTGTTGTACATGTATCATGTCACTCAAATTCTGCTCTCCATTGATTTTTCGCATTGTCTAAGAGAGCCTGAACAAGACAAAGTAGTAGAACCAACTCCTCCGTGTCCCAATACTCCTAGTTCCGAAGAGCCAATGGAAACTGACACAGAACCAAGTTCTTCTCAATTTGTTTCGCGAAAAGAGTACATCTTTGGCAGAATTTGGCAAAGAGCAAAAAAAGAAAATGTGCCATGGGATGAAATGTCGAAAGTAGACTGCGACGCTGTTTGGATAGCTGTGCAGCAGGCATCGTGAGTTATACTATATAGTTTTTATATTTCTAGTACAGGTTAATTAAGTGGTTATTGAAAATCCTATACTAATTAATGCTTCATTTTCAGTGTACCATTTCTACGCTGTTGTGCCAAGTTTTATGAAAGTCTGTCAGGAATTGCTCCTCCACCAGAACTTGAGACTGTCGATTCGTCATTCGATTATTTAATCAAGTATTTAGATTTACCAAAAGAATTCGAAGCGTTGTTCGTATCTTTAATTGATTGGCAATTGCCGTACAAGTAAGTTGGAAATGCTTTAATAATAATTCTTATTTATTTTCTGTAAAACTCATATTGCCTCTTACCAAATTTGTAGATGGGCTAGTCATCCTCGCACTCCTAAAATTTTAGAAACGGTTTTGCCAGTTGATGCCCGAAAATATCCTTTAGACCTTGGAGGATTAAGTTATGAGTATCTCCCAAGAATTTTGGTTGTGAAATATCCACGGATGTTATCATCCTTAACCCCTTTACCTGAGGACTATACTGAATTGATCAACATGGTCTCTAATTTTACTTGCAAAAACTCTAAAACTCTCGACTCTAGAACTCCAACAATGTGTCTCGTCTGCGGAACTATCCTTTGTTCGCAGGTATGACTATGGATTTTTAGCATATATTTTCACCATCTACAAGTACGTATGTAGCTGCTTAACATGATACTCTTCATGTACACAGAGCTATTGCTGTCAACGAGAAATAAAACCAAATTTTGTAATTGGATCGTGTATGTATCACGCAAACTACTGCGGGGGTGGATCCGGTATCTATCTACGAATTAGAGAATGCAAACTCTTTTTAACTCACGGTCAAAACAGAGGTGAGGATCATTCTCCAAAGAATATGCAAATGAAATTTGTTTGTATCTAACAATTCTATGCATAAACTCAGGATGCTTCTTGCCCCCACCTTACCTGGACGAGTATGGAGAACCAGATCAAGGACTTCGTCGTGGAAATCCGTTAAAATTGTCAATAGAAAAATACGAAGCGTTGCGCAAACTGTGGGTACAACATGCTATCCCTGAAGAAATTGCTCGTACAACTGAACATAGTGTCACTGCTGCGGGAACAGAGTGGCAATACCTTTGATTACGCTGACGTTAAACATGTAGAATCGTTTCCATCCAACTACTACAACCCATCGATCGTCGCATGTAGCTATTAGTACTTAATAGATCACGTATGAAGGTTCTGCATTGCATTATTCATTATTTAAATTAGTTCGCTTGAATCTCCAAATTCACAATAAATAACAAAATCAGTGTTGTTGTCAGCTAACCTTTTTTCTCCAAATTGCAAATTTTCATTCGCTTTAGTTAAGTTTATCACAACGCACTGTGATTTTTAAATCAAATGCAATGAAACTAGTATTGTATAAATTTTAACCAGTTTAAATCATGGAAGAGGATATTAAATTTCTGGGCATGTTTTAGGCACAATCGCCTAGTTTTAAATCTTTTAGTATTATTATTGGTTTTATCATCATTTATTTAGTTGTAGTGTTTTTATTTCAAAATGAAATATGTATCCCTCTCCTGAAATTTCTCATAAAAGGATCCCCGAAACCAAGAAGACTGCTACATTTTCAACCTTCTTAGTGTTATCTGGCAGTAACATTATAAAACGGAAATGTACTCTGTCGAGCTATGATTTCGTCGAACATGTCGAAAATACTCGTTTTAGGAATGGAAATAGAGTTACATTTTCTATGCGGATACAGAAAAGGTGTGTGCTTGCATGAAATACATAACTAATATGTACGGTATGTAATAATAAATTTTAACCTATAAAGTTATCACGTTGTGTGCTCTGCATAAATTGTTATGCAAAAGTTTGAAATACAAACAAACACTTACTGATGCGCTGCTACATTTTATTGGGTACTCGATTATACGCACCGGCGAGAGTTCTAACCATGAATTTTGATGATATTTATTACTCTATCTTGAAAGGAATAGAATTAAATTAAAAATGCAATATAGTTAGATTTTAAAAAAATACTTGGTAAAAATGAGAAATATCATATGTTGGAAAAAAATATACGAATCGGAAGTAACGCTTATGTAATAAACGGATACATACATACGTACACTTGGTTCAAATTGTCGGTGCTTTTTTTACTCATATCATTTGCATAAATAAGTAATGGAATTATACGATTTGATTTTCATCTTTAACTTGATGTTTATTTGTTTACGAAAACTTGTCAGCAGATCACATATATTTTAAATTAGTTACGTTTTTAACATCATATAAGTTACCCATTCATTAATTTTGTTACTTTCTGATTTTATTGTTTGCATATATTTCAGACAAAAAAGTAAATAGAATTGTTGTTCTTATACGAGTTACAAGTAATGATTTTTACTCTTGGCCTTAAAATTAGTCCTTACGTGCTATGCGATATATTATGCGTCCGATCCTATTCTGGTGGTTTTTGTTGTCGTGTATGAATACATATTTTTATACTTTTGTACATACATTTTCTACCCTTAGATATGCTTACTTTACATACTTTTTAAAGTCTATATGGACACACAATATAAATACAGTTGGTTGGTTTTCAGCTCTAATACCTACTTTAATGACTATTTATGAAGTTGGCAACTCAGAAATAAAATACTTGATGACATTTTATAATTTCATATGTAGCAATTCTGCTGTACATTTATAAAAGGGGTTTAATAATTAATACTTAACTATAGTTATAAGCTTAGTTTTGTAGTTTATTAGCAAAGACGCGTAGCTCGCCTTAAAAAGCTAACTAGATCTCAATGCACAAAAAAGCAGTAGAAAGATGTGACAGAGAAAGTGCATTTCATGTCTTTGTTATCTTCGAGTAATTACTTTTCAATAGTTGGGAAGACCTCGGAGACCTTCACTCCTTGTATGAAAAGAGCTCAACAAACTGAAATGCAGACAATTTTCTTACCTCTACGATATATAAGCACACATTGATTGGCTTGAACGCAATAGTCACAATGAATGTGTTTTTGGAATAGGAGAAAGTAATTCAAAGATAACGAAAAGGTTTATGTATACAATTCCAGTTATAATAGTTTGTGATTGACATTGTTGATTGAAATATTGAATCTTAGTATACACTACTCTTAGTTCGTAGAAGTATGTAAATATGGTTGGTGGTTGAAAATAGAAATAGAAAATTTTATAAATTGTTTAAAAATAGTTGATGTGTAAGCTTTTGTTTAGTCTGTCTCGTTAGTCTGTCTTTAGAAATTAATTCTGGTAGCTACAACTTAACTAAGTCTTTAGATAGTGCGTCATTAGACTAAATTAATGACACGCCGAAGCACGGTTAACATTATTGGTATTATTTAAAGAATTTGGGATGTGTTTCAGGCAGTAGCGATATAATCTTTGTCAAGACTTGTTCGATCCATACTCCTGTTGTCCGACTCATTACTCTGGGGTCCAGAGTAGTTTGCTGCTTCTTGTAATCTCATCAGCATGTTCATCTGCAATAGGATTGTATAATTAGTGTTAAATGGTTGCAGAACAATTTAATGTGCTTATGTATTTAGATATAAAATGTACCAAAGGATCTTGTTGATCTCCATTAGATTCGCCTTTTGGAGTCTTTCCGGGAGAGTTGATTTCAGACTTTGTATCGTAACCAACGTCTTCGGGACGAAGCCTGCAATGGGTCATTGTTTTAGCCTCTGTACTAAATATGTAGGTTAAATGTCCTCAAATTTGACTACCTTAACAGGGAAGATTTTCCAGAACTCATGCTATGAGACTCTGTCCATGGGTAAGTTTGTAACAAATAGTAGCAAGGGTCTTCCCAAGATGATTTCTTCCCATAAAGTTGCAATCCTTCCTTCACCGCTTCCATGATGTATGGAACAATTGAATAGTGCCACAGATCTGTGAACCAGACTTGCGAATTGGCCACGTCGGTGGGACAAGATAGGAAAAGTCTGGGTCCAATCGTCACTTCGGATGAATTGTGAGTTTCCAGGAATTTGTTTATGTGCAGCCACACTTTTGGAATCCAATCCATCACTCGCGATAGCTCAAGGTTCTTGGCTCCATTCTGAACATCAGTATCGACCAAGCGTCGTTGGAGGTAACGGCTGAGAAGACCTTTCACTGGCTCCATGTGGTTTCCAAAGAGGACCCACCTGAGGAAATTCCAAATGAAATTAGTTATTAAATATTCATGTACAAATTCAAATAGACAATTTGCATACATAAGGTTATGCCAGCTATATTTTTGCATGTAAAGTATGTATGTGCAAATACCTAAAGTTATGATGCAGTTGCAAATTCGGGGTGGATGCGGTCGACTGCGTCATTGTTCCAATGATTACAGGACCACCGCTCTGTTTGGAATTGAGATATCCGCTAAAGACTTCTCCAAAACTAGAAACTTGGTGCAGGTTGTCGAGAATTATCACAGAAGGAAGTTCCGCACTTCCACTCTCACATTGATCCGCCAAGTTCGCCAAGTACTGTCGCAATTCCTTGCTATTTTTGTGATCAGCACTGAAAGTAGCGATAGCTTCGGGACACGGGTCCTTTCCACACCGAGCGACCAGATACTCCCCAATCTTTCGAGCGAGATACGACTTTCCTGTTCCACTTGGACCACAAAGGATTATTCTCCCGTGATCGGAGAGGAGGGTGATGTACCGCTGGAGTATGGATTTGGGTACCAAAGTTTCAAACGCGAGAGCGTCCAAACATCCAGCCGAACTCGCTCCTTTAAGGCAAACTCGTATTTTGGTAACATCTCCAACCAAATAGCCACACGGAAGAAGTTCAGGTTGAGGTCCTTCCTTGGAGCGCAAAACTTCTCCAACGTTGTAGCTCAGGATGGAATCAGCGCTCAATCCTACGTTAGAAATTGGATCAACGCGTCCCAAATATTCCTACACGGCACAAAACAACAGAAATTTTGTTAAAAATCAGAAAGAGTATTCACTCTCACGATAAGTGTGAGTAACGAAATTCATGCATGTGTACCTTGAAAGCTCGCTTAATCCTGTAAATAAAGTAAATAAGGGAAATTTAGATCAAATCTACATATTTATAGTTGTATTTATCATGGTGAGAGACTAACCCTGCATCTAAAACGTCCCACTTCGTCTTGTTGCTCACACAAACCGTTCCAATATTACATTCAGGTGCAGGGAAGCCTTCATGAGAGTTGATGTATCTCTCGTAAGAACCGTGGCAGCCAATGAACACGGTCACAACGATTCGTTTCCCTTCCATATCCGACGATGCTTCACATAAAAGAATGTCTGCGGAAATTAGAGTCCGTTTAGTTAAACAGCTTTCTTTGTATGTAATCCAATCTTTTTCAAAATTGAATGAATATTTCCATCAGCCAGTATTATTACCCAGATTGGATGCCGATGGGGGCGGAATTTCTGATGCACTCAATCTCCTGTCGATCGTATCAGACGTGGTGACCATTTGCAAGGAGCTTTGCGAAGATGTGAGAGATTTGCAAGTGACCATTCGTTGCAGTCTTTCATTATCTTGTTTAAGGTTCAGCATCTCGTTCTGTCAATACACAAAATTTTCCCTCATTATTATTAATGTTATGATTATTATCGCATTAAATTAATGTAGTCAACTTTTCAATAATAATAAAAAATGAGAAAATACACTGCGGTTGATAAGAAGTTAGTTAGTGGAGGAAAATACTTATTAACAGGTTTACTATGTACGCACCCTCATCTTATTCACAGTTTCCTTCAAGGACTCAAGTTGATGGGCAGATGTCAACGCTTCCAACCTGATGTCCGTCAAGACCATCTCCTTCTCTCGGAGTTGCTTCTTCAACTCATCCACGGACTTGTTCTCGTCGCCAAAGTCTTCGCAAACTCTGCACACCCATCAATTAAAATGAGAAATCAATCAACAACAATTCGTAATTAATCATCATTAAGACACAAAAACAATCTCCTATACCCTGAGGAAGCATTGGTTCCACTGTTGGACCGAGGCGATCGGGATCCACTCGAGCTGGAACACCCATTACTTTGCGGTGGGCTGAGAAGTGGGGATCCTGGAGTGTCTTGAAGCTGATGAATATTCTGATGAAGTTTAGAACACTGTGGTTTATGAGAAGAGGAAGAGTGGCCATTATGATGGAGATGAGACGAGGAATGGGGATGATTATGGTGATGATGATGATGGCCGACGGAAGAATCCTCGTTGAGATCACTGGGCTGACGAGTCCCGTCAATTTCCATGAATCCTTCCTCGTCCAACACTGACCCATTTCTCTTACTCTTCGATCGAGAAAACGCCTTGGTAAAAGAGCTTCTCAGCTACATCACGTAAACAATCCTCCATTATTTAATTTGACCAGATTGTTGACACAAACATTGAGTGAGATTGACTCAAAAAACTCACCCATCCTTTATTTTTGCCATGTTTCTTCTTCAAGTTGGGACTATCCGGAGGAATAGAACCGTTCGAGTGATGGTTAGCACCACTTGGTCCATGTGTCGGCGTTCCCAACGGCGTGGTGGTCACTTGACCGGAAGGACTAGAAGTGTGGGAGTGGGAGTGGGAAGTGCAACTGCAAGCTGACGAAATGGAGTTTATGCTAGAGACAGAATCCGCCGATAGCTGACGGGCGATGGGACTCCCGTCACGAGAAAGACCTGGAGTGTAACAACATAAGGAATCGTTTTTGAAATTTAGATACGTATCATTTTTCTCGTGTCACACGCATTTCAAAACTATTAATGGGTTTCACAGTAGAGGAATTTTAATCGACGAATCAGGAAGAATAAATGCCGATAGGAGGACAAGAGGAAGACACAAAACAACATGTTAATAATTCCGGCCGTGCTGTTGGAGTTTAAAAAATAAACTCTTCTTCTTCTCCTCGTAAGAAGACAAGAGTTTGGATAAGACACGCCAATTTGTCATGGAAAACAGCGTGTGGAATGCGTAGAGAGAGAGAGAAATGAGCATTTCACCTGTATTCATGCTGGCAACTGTTAGGCCGGCTTCGATGCTTTGCTTCCGTAACAATTCTATCGTTTGTCTCAGTTCCAGCAGTTCCGTGTCCTGAAATTAAAAAATAACAGTTCTAAATTGAGCATACTATGAAAATCGTGTCAACTTTGGAGAGACGTATAGAGGAAAAGTACGTGCATATACAACTCCCCGAAATATTGTATCAGTGCTTTCATTCTCACGGCAAGCTAGATTTGTACATAATCCAACTCACACATATTGCATATATGCAAACGTGCATAAATCTTTCAAAATCGCAATCTTAAATTCGCCAACTTTTCAGAATTCATCCATATTTATTCATAGCGTCATAAATCTCTCCCTGGCTCGGGTCTCTGTCAGGTTCTAAAAAGGATGGCTCCTCCAAGATTGTTTGTGTGTGATACGTACGTAGCTCGTACAAGTTCAGCGTCTCTCATAATTTGGTTAGCAATAATAATATATTCGTAAACTTTTGGGTAGTTAGTTGGACAAGTTTTGGCCAAATCACAACTGTGCCGCACGATCCGCAACATAATTTACTCGAGATTTGCGCCTAAATCGTGGAGGAGGGGATCGTAAAAGGTGTGGTTCGTTCATGTGCTGCCGATAAAACGTAAAATGTTATAAATCTGAGGAAACGTACGTGTTAAATGATTCAATTTTAGGATTATCAGCAGCCACATGAATAAAACACACCCACTTCTGTTCAACCATGGGATGCTGGTTCGCTTTCATGCAATAAATAGGAAGGAACTTGCTAAATATTTGGAAGGCACGGCGAGTGTGAGTCCTTATCTCGAGAGGCAATTAATCCACGAATATGGATATTTTAACGGCTTCTATGCGAACGATTCTCCAGATTCGTATTCACGATAAAATAATAGTTTTTGAATCACATAATTCGATTTCGCCACAAGAGATGACCAATAAACTTGAGCCGCACCCACCAAGCCAACTCGCCTCGCTTGGCTATCATGCCAGAACAATTATAATGATAACATAATAATTTAGGCCGAGATGGTTTTGGGCAGCTGGAGGTGTCACAAACTTAATTGCTTCACCTGCCTCGCCCCATTATCCTACCTCGCACTTTTGGCTAATTCAGGATTTACTTCTAAGATGATCCACGACGAGGAATTTCTTCAAGGCAAACTTAATTTACAAAGTACAAAAAGTTGCACACGAGTGGAAATTGGTACCTTATTCGTTCGGATTACAGTGGGAGTAAGGAAAGTATTTTGTAGTGGGTGGGTGCAGCTGGGGTTTTGAAATTAAAGCAACCTAGCCCACAGCAGAGAAAACTGAATTATAATGATATGAACAAAGAAGTCATTTCATTCGCGACCACACACACGTCGTCTTGCGGTATTTGATTCATCTTCAGTAAGAAACGTACCATTTGCAATTAATTGTTTTGCACGTTTTCTCAATTCGATTCACATTTCAATCCAGAAATTCGACCACCAAATAATATGAGATTAACCAAAGGAAGAAATTTCTCATTTACCGACAGGAAATGGTATAGATGACCATACATACCCGACTAAAACAGAACATTGCGATAACATTACTTTTACATTACGATTGTTAGTTTTATATTATTGTTGGATTTCTGTTGCGAAATCATGTTTTATTTTGGTTAAAATAATATTAGAACATTTTAAAAATTCTTGACATTGTGTAAATATTGGAACAACAACGACAAATAATGTGGTTAAATTCGTAATGTATTACTAACATTTAAGTCATATTGTATAACGAGAGGGAAATAATGTTGAGTACACATTTCCCCAATATTATAAGCATATTGTAGCGTCTTTTAGGAAAGTGGCGGTTGAACATTTTTATCCACACTGCTCGCCATCATTCCTATCCCGCATTCTCGTTGTGCACCTTTTTACTATCTACAAATTCAGTTATAATTAAAAACTAAAATGTACTCAGTCGTCGAGTTCCCTGACGAGGAAGCTGTTGAAGTAGTACTTTCAAACTGGATTAATCCAGAAGGGAGTCTGTGTCGTTATCCGGATAAGACGGGCATTGGAGGTGTAACAAAATTAGTAAAAAGTGGATCACTTTTTCAGAACAATTGGCCCACATTCCGATGTCGGATCCTCAAAACTTATGGTAAAATCTGATCATTTATTTATCTGCTTATTTATTGTAATTAAATATGTTCGTTAGTTCTTATTAAAATTTCTCCAATTTTACAGATAATTACTTATCCGCAAGAGAAGCTGCTAATTTGGCGCAAGACACGTCGGGCCTAGAGTCTGACTCCAATAACGATCGACGGGTCAAAAAAGAGCCTACCAGTAAATCAAAAACAGTGCTGCCAGAAACTGATTCGGATAGTGATCACTCATCGTCACAAATATTACAAGGGAAGTCTGCCGACCATCAATTTGCGTCCCCACTAACTTCTCTACAGATAAGTAAGCATTAAATATACAATTCTCATTTATTTGATTTATAACCTAACTGCGCTCAACTAAAATTCAGTATGTACAATTTTAACAGTAATTCAATACTCTCTTTTTTTCAATTTTAGACATTCCACAGATTCCAGGAGAAAACACGGTGTCTGAAGAGGGAATAAATTTCATTCCAAATCCCGACCATATCGCATCGTATTCAAATTCAAATCTTTCAATTGGACTGGAGCAGTCTTCACAAGTACCTTTCGCACCCATTGTAACCAATTTTGAGGTGGAATATGCTACTAAGGATGATTTGATGAGTAAGGCTTGAAACACATTTGGTCATAAATAGTTAAATTTATAGTTTGCATTACTTGTAGAGTTCCAAAAGGTGATGGTTCGACATTTGGTACAAATCCAGCAGACCCAAAACGAAATTTGCAAACATTTCCTATTGCTAAAAACAGCGTCTAACAAGAATCCGGAACCGGAAGATTTCTCCACTCTGCCACCGATTCCAGTTGACACTGTGGATGGCCTCAAAGGGGTTGAAACGTATTTAGAAGAAAATAAGGAAAATCGAAGGTTAATGGTTGGTTAAAATAATTTAATTTAATTTATAATTTGCAGAAAGATCAATGTTTTTCTAATGCCATTATTTAAAAAAATGTAGATTTCCTACCTATCTCTACTTGACGGGAAGGACGCTGAAGATATTACGAGGACGATTCTTGAAAAGTTAATGACCATTGACCTGGGTGCAAAATTCAGCAGAACTGGCCATGGGAAAAACAAGCAAGAATTTAATGTTTACTCCAAAATCAATTTAGTTATTATTGGTAAGGTGACAAACGAAAAACCCTGTCTAATTTAAACCTAAAAATAAAATACAATAATTTCAGGGGGGGTGCGAGCAACTAAGGGTTACGATAGAACCACCGAGCACGACATTAACACGTACATAGCTAAGTGGTTCCGGTTTGCTCCATTCACAACTAAAGCCAAAAAGTAATCACGATGTCTTCCCATCGGACGAAGCGACGTAAATTCCAACATTCAGTTCAACAAATTTTTAATGAAATTAACAGTGAATTTGTAGATTTTGAGCCTACTAGTTTTGTAGACGTAATTTGCAATGAAATTAGTAATGATTTAGGAGAAATAGAGAATAATTGTGTAGACGAGATCTGTAGTGGTGTTGGTCAAACACCGAGTAATAGTAATGATATTGTAGAAGATTATTTTAATGAAACAGTTGTATTTGACAATCCGACAGGAGAATTTAATTTAATAGATTATGTAAATAATGTTACTGAATCAGAAATTAGCTCGGAATCAGAGTCAGAAACAAGTAGCGTGCCAGTAAATTTTAAGGATAAATTAGCAGTCTGGGCTGTCAAACATAATATTACAGGCGTAGCGGTGGATGATTTATTATCCATTCTCTCTTTAAATTTTCAAAATTTGTGCCTCCCTAAAACTCACATATCTTTGCTTCAAACTCCTCGTAGTTCAGATTTTAATATAATTTCTATTCCAGGAGGAATTTACTATCATTTTGGGTTAAAAAAATACCTTGTCACACAAAAATATAATAATATTCAATCTGACGAAATTGTTTTAATGTTAGGTATAGATGGAGTCCCAGTATATAAAAGTTCAAAAAAACAATTTTGGCCTATTTTAGGTAAATTAGATAAGCTCATAAATTGTACACCCTTTTAATTGGATTGTATCTAGGGGACACTAAGCCATTAGATCTTGAAAAATATTTAAATCCAACTATTTTAGAATTAGAGGAATTACTTCAGACAGGTATTTTTGTTGCCGAAAAACATTTCAAATTCAAACTTTCATGTGTGATCGCTGACGCCCCAGCAAGGTCAATGCTGAAACAAATTATAGGCCATGGGGGATATTATGCTTGTGAGAGATGCGAGGTAAAAGGAATTCACGTTGGCAAAGTAGTTTATCCGGATATTAATTCGCCTTTACGTTCTGACGATTCATTTCGCTGCAAAAAACAAATTTCTCACCACACTGGGAATTCAGAATTTTTGAGACTTAACTTTGGGATGGTGTCGCAATTTCCACTGGACTATTTACATTTAGTGTGCTTAGGAGTTTGCAAAAAAATGTTAGTAATATGGACGAAGGGCCCCATTCCGCACAAACTAAGCCGCCAGCAAGTTGACATAATTTCTGGTAGACTTTGTGAACTAAGACCATATTTTCCATCAGAATTTTCTCGCAAACCAAGATCATTAGCTGAATTATCGTATTGGAAGGGCACCGAGTTTAGAAATTTTTTGTTGTACAGTGGCCCTTTAGTGTTACGTGACATTCTTACTGAAAATAAGTATAAGCATTTCTTGTTGTTCTCGAAATCGATAAGGATTCTATTAAATAATGATAGTTCTTGGTATAATTTAGCTAGGCAAATGTTGCGCTTGTTTGTAGGAGAATTTGGAAAGCTATATTCCAAAGAATTTATTACATATAATTTGCATTCCTTAATTCATCTCCCAGACGATGCAGACAAATACGGATCGCTTGAACGAACCAGCGCCTTTTGTTTCGAAAATTATATGCAAGAGTTAAAACGAATGCTTAGAGGAAAAAGCAATCCTTTGCAGCAAGTAATTGGTAGAGTTGAAGAGGGACAGAAATTTAGTGCCAAAATCAATAAGGTGCCTGAAATTCCTAAGCTTAAAAGTAATACACGCGATTGTCATGTCATGCTCAGTAATGGTAGTATTGCAAAAATTGTGCAAATAAATAGCGTAAATAATATGATAGAAATAAGGAAATTTATGTATAAAGAGCCGTATTTTCTGTATCCCATCGATAGTACTAAAATACATCTTTATGTTGTCCGTAGAATTAGTAATGTCTCCGAATTTATTTGTAAATCAAAAATTGCAAGAAAATGTATACTGTTACCGACAGAAGAGTTCGGATTTGTTTGCTATCCTCATAATGGTACATATTAATTAGTCTGTAAAGAATAAGTATGTATGTAATGTAAGTATGTATATAATTATTGAAATGAAAATAAAAATATGTATTGTAATGGTATTGAGAATTGGCTGCTTAGAATATTCATTGAAGTATTGCGCAGACGTTAGTCAACAGTATTCGAAGAACATGTATGCAATATTGATGACATCACCGAAAATATGATTAATTCAATATTCTTATAATATTGGGGTAATATTCATTTGATGTTAATTTCTTGTTGGAATATAATATTATTTCAACTTCTCAAAAGTGGCCAAACTGAACGTTTGTTTAACATTATAGAATAATATTATTACAACCAAAAATTTTTAGTCGGGTACTGCCCAACCTAGATATTGAACAAGGTAAAATTCCATCCAGATGTATTCATTCACGACATTTATTCGTCTTGTGAGGTTGTTCAATTCAATCTCACCTTCAACGTTCACTTTGTAAATAATATCGAAAAGAATGTATACATCATTGATTGTTATTTTGACGACCGGCTAATAATCCCATTCATGCAAATGATTTCATGCCTAATCTAATTTCTGCAATAAAATTCCAGTCTCTGACTGATCTACTCTTAATGGAATCAAGGTGTACGAGTTTATAGGACCGCAATGACTTGCAAGAACAACTTGGTTTTTGGAATAAGCAATTAAACCATGTACCTATAAATATGTTGCATTGGCAGACCAGACATTTTCTTGTCTACTCGTTTGGTCAATAAAATATGGCCAAACCAAAGTAACAACCATTTATTTCAAGTATGCAGATGATATATTATCCACCAAGACTATCGGCTCACTCTACAAATAATGAAAATCATCATTCAACTGCTGGCATCAACAAAAATGGCAAAAATTATATAACGAGATATTACATTCTTGGTATTCAGAAGAACAAATATTTTTGGAGGATCAGTGTTACAGCTTGTTGAAAAATGTCGTTCGTCACCATCAACTCGCGGATGGTTGTATCTCTCGTTTCCACGTTTTGCAAATAGCCTGTCTAATATCTAAACTATAAAACCTGAAAATTTGACACATGTCATGAATAAACCAAAAAAAATCCTTTTTAAAGGATGAGACGTGCTCAAAGAGTTTTGAGCCTGGAGGAGAGGATTTGTCTTTTCGAAAAGTTGATTGAGCACAAAAGGACAGTTTTGCAAGGCGAAAGTGTTGAGATTTTTTAATAAAGCTAGTGACCATGCTGCGTATTACGAATCGTCGTCTTCACATGAAAGTCAACATTGCAGAATTGAATTTTAAAAAATTAGCCAATTAGTTCCACTGTCCTGGTACCACATATGTAAATATGCATGCTGGCCGTTACTGCAGATATTCGCATTTTCAGCCTCATCATGCAGCAATAAATAAACCAAATTATTTATTGTAGTCATTATCCTCAATTTCCTAATTTACTCACTATACAAGGACCTTTATGACATGTGTGACTTGTGTTGATGAGACGAGAATACACATTCACTATTTATTTCTTGTAAGCGTACAACTACTTCTTCTTACACAAATCACATCACAAAAATGCATGCATAATTCATACCTCTTACTGATAAATGGTCAAATCAAATCAAATTTTTCTCGAATTATTATTTACTCTGCATCCTCCATTGCTATGCATTTCACACACGTACATATGTAATGATTTTATTAGATTCGCATCAATCACTCGCATGAATAAGTCGTGAGATCAAGTAAATAACAATTAAAACGAATAAGCGTGAAATAATAACAGGTCAGAAGATAAGTGTGCAATAAGTAATTGATAGGGAAACGATTTATGTATTTACAAACGTACGACTTGTTCAATCAATGTCAGTCCAAAACCAACAATTTGTAATGGTTACATATACGCCAGTAAACGGTCGTCATCATGGATGGACATATGTACATAGATTCCGTCGTACATATGCTTTGAATTATCAAACTCACTCAGCAAGCAACTTTGTCTGCCTGTCGAAAGAACAATCCTCATTGTACGAGAGGGAAGAATTTAACAAAACAATCTCCGTCGAGAAACAATGGCAGAACGCAACTTGTCTTCGAGGTGGACATTATTCATCTTAATTTATTGGTTCATATGCACCATCACCGCCTTGCATTCGGAATTCTCTACCTCCAATCTAATCCACTTCAGGGTTGCAACTTCATTAGTGGAAGAAAATCAATTATTCTACATGGTTTTTAATGCGGTGGTGAAGGGCCTTTTGGTAAAGAATGCTTGACAGATAACGAATATAATCCGAACATCTTATTGTGCATGCATGTGCTTGACCACAGTTCAGGGCGCTGGTTGTCGAGGTAAATTGTCAAATCAGAACATTTTTTATTCGCACTTACACGCCAACAGTCGTCAATTCTTTTTACAGGATTTTCACATTAAAATAATCCGAATTAATATAGCTTCGCAAGTCTAATCCTTCCTGTTGAAAGGATTTGCTTAGGTTTAATCTAAATAATCGCATTCGCACACGATCCAGCCGACGTACTAATTGAAATTTAAAGTAGAACACACAACTCATCCCAGTAAGCTCTTCCGTGTGTACTGATAATAGGCTCAACTCCACAGCGATAAAAGTTTGATTTACTGCAACCACCGTAAAATAAACCACTTTTGAAATTTAAAAAGCAGACCGTGTTAAAATCTTAGGGTTCAGTTGGCTGAATCCATCAAGATATTACAGAGTTTGGCTTCTCCTTACTTCTAGTCGAGTTCCTCATATTCTCAATTTATGTATGCTTGGTGAACGAATCTATATACTTCCATATGTATGTACATTAACAAAGAGAAACAAACGTGAACTGCACTAAATTACTTTTAGCCGAAGAAAAGAAAGCATAAAATGGTAAATTTGTTGAAAAGCTTATTGTTTTACATTGGCAAGAGTTGAGATTGTTGTTCTCCCAGATATTTATTAGCTCAGTGACCTAAGTTTGTTTAAATTGCGGAAAACTGTTGGCAAAAAGGGCTATAAGGAGCATTGTCAAGTGGTTGAAAACATAGCTACAAGGGGTTGTCAGACTATGGTTGTTGTACGTTAAGAGGGATGCGATTCACTTGTAAAAGTACATAGCAAACTTGTCTTATTGGATCTAAATTAACTCTTTTAGAAACTACAAATCCAGCACGACGGCCATCCACTCTTTACCCACCTTGTGGAACAAAGGAGGACACATCATCATCATTCCGATGCCGCGGCGCAGTGTTGTACAAAATAAAAATTCTGAACAAGTGCCTACTTCACGTCATGCCACTTAACTCTTATGCCACTAAAAACAAGTCTTCTTCTTAGTTCTCCGTCATCCTGGATCTCACTCTTTCACAAGGACCTGAGACCTGACTGACTGCATTGCATGAACTCAACTGGAGTGGCTCTGCTGCCTATTTTGTACTTTTTTTTCATTTCCAGGCCGAACATAATGCAGAGCGACGAGGATCCATTGTATCCTTTTCTATGGTGGATCAGATTCACTCCACGAAAAACTAATCCCAAGTTTAAAAAAAGCAAGAACAAAGAGTTCTCTGAAACTTTACTGCTTTCAAAAGAGCATCGCATCGTCGACGAGATGGGATAGTGGTTGGTTGCTGTAATGATCAACTGCTTCATAGCGGTGAAGGATACATTATTATCTGGCAGTGCTAACTGCATAATTCCGTGTTTTCGTCACTCTTTAATGTACACCAACAATAATTATTTGTAATTTGTGTCAATTCCTAATTCATACTTTTATAAAAACTTTAAACTTCAGAGCTCAAAGGTTGCAAAATCTGTGACCTTCATACGTCAAGATTTATGATTAATGACTTATCAGACGTGCCCACATCAAAAAATCGAAATAAGTAATAGAGCGAACATCATGTAAGAAGTTGCTTAAAAACTGGAATTTATCAAGTGCATCCAATTTGCTGCCAGTCAGTCAGATCCACCACAACGTTTCCCTGGTTCATTGGTTCGGTAGTTGGTGGGTTGGATAAGCACGAATGAGAAGAGGATAAGCATGATGTGTCTCCTTTGAGTTTGTTTGTGTTGATCTGACAACCACACCTCAGACCAGTCACAATATCTATTCTTCTTTCAAGTGAAAAATATACTGTCACACATTTTTTTCTTATGATAACAACATTCAAGAAATATCCGTCCTTCGTGAATGCATTCTCTGGCTCGACGCTTCGTAAGTCTATTGATTTCCAAATAGAAGAAGAAAAGAAGGCAAGTTCCAAGCCACACTTTGATCGACATATACCCAAAAAGATTACCGAGATCCAAAGTCAAATCAATACGAAAGATATGTTTGTTCAGTAAGAAATGCTTCTATTCTACAATCAACTCCTGATTGAATACAAATCCATAGCCAACAAATCTACATATTTGTACAGATACATAGGTTGACGACACAGTGTCACAAACGAGTCACGATTATTTAAGAAAGCTCAACAATCAATGACAATGAGAGACAATGAAATTAACAATGCAAACAGATTGACTTCTTCTCAATGGGAGAATAAATGTTGAGCGTGTGTCAAAATATGTAAAGTATGGCAAAATGGGATACCTATAAGTGGACATAAAAATACAATAAAATAAATACGATACGATAGGTAAAAATTGGTGTGGGATACAATGGCGATTTGCTTCCCATTATCCTGCTGATTCTTCAATGTCACGAGGAAATGTGACCAGATTGCAAATTATGAATTGTGACACGGAGAGAGAAAAAAATCATCAGAATTCCATTTATTTGAGATGAAAATCTATTCGTGTCCCATTACTTGGGATGGTTTATCGTCGCTGTTGCTGCTGCTTTTGGTAGTATTGTTACATTGCATTGGCCCCTTCCGGAAAATCCTTAAATCGAACGGGGGACAAGATTTATGTTCACTTTTCTGGGTGGCTACGTGACAACATCAAGATCTTAGTTCCTTGTTGTTTGTTCCATATATATTGATCTAAAAAATTTGCAGTAAAGAAAACAAACTGGATTTGAAGTGAAATTGCTCGAAACCTTCATATTTTCATTTGGCATCGCGCAATGATAAATTCTCAGGAATGAAATGACAAATGTTCTTTTCGAAAACATGGGTGAAATCTAACCAAGCCAACAAAAAGATGTAAGGCAAAAGATCAAATATCGGAAATGTCAGTGGAAAAGCCAGGTCAAAATTTTCCTATCAATCATCATTTCAAGTGGGCGTGCAAATTTGAGATGAAAATTCTAGAACATTTTCATGTGGTGCAAAAAAAAAGTTTTAGGATTCCGACAGTACTCGTATTTCAATAAAATACGTGCCAAAAAGATTTGAGGAAACGCATCCAACCGAGAATGCGCAGGCAGGGGAAATGAATATCTAATGAACAATGAATTATCGTGGATGGTAGTGAAGGAAGACGTAAAAAGTTTTCTGGGTAATAATTTTCCACACGATTTCCACAATATTTCAGCCCCGTTGACAGCTTCAATCGAGAACTTTACCGAGTTTTTATTTGCTCAAGTAATAATTATGAAAATTTCGAATCATATCCCATCAACTCCGAGTGTGTAATTAAATTTTGGATGTGCAACTTTTATTTTAAGACGTATTTTAAGAAATGTGTGCACTTCAGTTCCTTTTGTGAAGAAGAAATATCAAATGCATCTTAACCATGCATGCAGCTAGCGTAATTTTATTTTGTGATAAATCCCGACAACCATGTCTGTACATCAGAATCTCCATGCAGTGGAATTGTGAGAATTATTTGCAAATGTGCTGCAGCGTTGACAAGCCTGGGGACAAATGCATAAATGGACAAAATCGTGGTCTGTTAATTAAGTACACGATTTGCGCTTACAATTAGTGTATAATCACGAGATCATACATACATACAGCAGTTGTCTAATGATGTCCAAACAGGGAGAGTGCTAAAATATGCTGCATAATTTGGAGACAAAGTATGTATGCATTGCAAAGTAAACTATAATTTAGGATTTTATCCTGTCTCCTTGTCATCCTTTGACGATTAAGCCAAGCAATTCGTTTTCTGTTATCACGACAAATAATAAGATAACAGCACAGCAGACGTAAAAAAAAGTAATACTGCAATGTCCAGTGGTGGTTGGTGGACGCCTGCTGATTCCCTTCTAATAATCCTTCCGTCAGCTTCTTAAGTTTTTAACTAGACAACAAGTCCCCACAGCGATTCGATTTCAATCCTCTTTTATTAACCATGTTAGACGTATGTAATTCCTGCTCATTTCCATCCCCGCGTGCACAAAATACACGAAAGAATCCTTGTGACATTTATGACCAAACGCATCTTTCAGAACACTCCTGCTTAAAAAACTTAACGCTTTACCCCCAAAATTTTAACGATGGTTTAAAAAATTGCATTTTCGGCCAGTAGCATAAGCTGTAGCAGGAGGAAAAAATGTAAATTTTTCAATCACCCTCGTCACAGTAAATTTGTCTATAATGAAGTTTAAATGTATATCATTGTCAAACGAAGCACTTTAGGTTTACATGTATGTACCTCTCATCTATTTGCATATGAATGTTACCGGAATTTTCTACAATGGCAGTGACAGTAAAACTCAACCCTAATCTCGCCCCACCACCCGTCCACACTTCAATTCAATTATCAATTGGACAGAAAATTATCATACGGAAGAAATCAACTGCTCCATAATGGAGCAAAGAAATTGAAACAAAGCTACATACATGTACAAGATATTTACGTATTAACATATGTTGAGACGATCGAGACATTCAATTCCACCAGCGAGATCGAGATAGATTACATTAGCATGCATGTAAAAAACTGGATGTAAAAATTTCACAGTCGTCACAGCGTCTTCCGCAGATGAACCAAATGGTTAAATTGAACGTGTGGAGCCTCTTCCTATGCTCGTATGTCGACGACTTTAATGCAATCATGAAAAAATTAAAACTTTTCGAGTGCTCATGGACGGATGACGGATCAAATTCTTTTTGATTTTTTTTTCATGCAGGTTCACAGTTCGTCTCTCCATATCTGGAATCTCTCCGTTACAACAGGTTTCATTATGTGGAAAGAGCTTTATTGAAACAAAATAGAGACATTTTGTCAAGCAATAAGTACAAGTGGTTGAATAACTGTTGATTTCAAAGGACTGAAAAATTAACTTTTGAAAGGCGGATTTCATTGAAGGATAAATAAATATAGATACGTCGAAAGGGCAAAAAGTTTTGTAAAAGGATATACAGTTCCAAAACATTCTGCAGATTAACTGCGGTTGGTTTAAGGTTTTTGTAAATAATATTCATTCAATATTTTCCACCCGATATAAAAAGCGATAGACTTTGGCACGAATGTAACTGTAACTGTGTTATGTAACTGTACAAAAATCTGGGGGATGGATGCACTGATACAAGAATATATTTTAGTCGGGTATGTCAATTTCGTTGTGTTGCAGGCACTTTTGTTTTTTACGGCTTAAAAAAGATTCAATCAATGTATTTTACTTTTCGTCTTACCTTCTGCTCAGCGGAGCAAGTCAGCGACTGAATCCGCTGCGTCATGTTGGACAAGGACTGCTCAAATGCTGCAACGACGTGAGCCTGAAATTGAAACAAGAACATTGTATTTATTTGTGTAAAAAAATATTTGGCTGAGTAAGACTATTTGAACGCATGGCAAGAAAGAGAGAGAGATTGGATCTCGGATAAAATTCACTAGCTAAATAAATTGATTTATTATTTATGTATTTATTTGTTGGTGATGAAATATGACAAATCGCCTTCGACCATACGTGTAGACATTGCCATTCTTTAATAAAATGTGCGGAAATTTGAGGTTCAGCAATTGTTCCCTTCTTCTTTTTTTATTCTTTCTTACAGAAAAGGTTTCATGAAAACTAACAAAGCAAGTGCCCTTGCACGAAAGCACTTAAACCTGCCACCGGTCTGTCATGTGTCACGTCATGTAGCTTATTTGATGCCGAGAAAATTGGTAAAAAGTGGAAAAAAAACAGACTCGCGAAGACAAGAACAAACTCATCTATTTTTCAAACCATATTTCAACCCTTGTGTGGAGAAATTAGACATTCGCATTTTTATTGCACAAGCCTCCTCAGTTCGTTCATTTCCTTCTCGGGATGGATGGCTACTCCATGATTCAAATTATTACAAACCATTTGTCAGAACAGACCCGCAAAATTCCATCCAAACAGATATGTAGGAAGGACAAGTGGTCGAGTTGGCGAGTATTTAATTATTTTAGAGTAACCTGAGGCTTACAAGTCTCTCAAAGTTTGGAATTTTGGACAAAACACAACTTATTTATTACCACGCTGCATGTACAAACACTTGTAATATGATTCCTACTTCACATATCATAATTTCTTTATCCCAAGCATCACCGTTCTTCCAGTCCAAGTGTGCCGTTAATATTTCTTATCTTGAAATAAACAGGGTTTGGTGATGCATTTTAATGAGCTTTACTACCACTCCTCCTCCTCCTCTAAGAGAGAATTAGGTGCAAACAAAAATTTTAAAAAGGTGCAACAAAAAGTGAAGGACACGAAGCTATGAAACTCGGACTCTCGAATGATTTAAAAAGGTTAAGCGAATGACGATGAATAACTTGTGTGTTTTACTTTCCAGGAGCGGAAAGAAAACACGAAATGAGAGAGGTAACAACATTTCAAACTTTGTCCGACCATTTTTGGCCATTGTCCACCTACAGGTTCGTGTCATGCCGGTGCATGGTGTCCTGGTGTCAAGACATCGGGTGGGGGACATATCGTGCAAAGTGTCCTCGTTCGTTTATTCCACCACGGCGTCTCACTTATTCATCATCTCCAACAACATTACGTCCTTCACTCGCAGGGTGAGTGAGGAGACAGACTAATAAATTAATCAGGAGAAAGAGAGAAGATGATGAAGATGTATCTTAAATGTACATAGGACGAGGCGACACGTTGCATCGACTCTTCTTTTTTTAAGAATGAGTTAAACATGCAATACAATGGGTACTTGAGGCCCATCCATGTGTCATTATTATTACCTTCAATCATTTATTTATGGCATAATTCAAGTGGATAATACGCTATTATTTACTCCAGTGTCCTCTTTAAGTATGTATTACTGGTGGTGGGGCGAATTTTCTTGTATTATTATTTCCGTATCGTTTCGTTTATGTTATGCGACGCTGTTAGTTTAAGAGACGACAAGGATGATAATGCCAACAAATAAGACGTCTAATTCAGGACTCGTGTCATACTTATTTCCAAATATGGGCAGGAAAGGAAGGAAGGGCATGCACAATGAAAAATGCGGCGTTTCAAACTGTGTTATGTAATCCACTTTTCCAGGATTGGAAACTAACTCAACGCTATCTTTAAAATGAGATATATGTCAAAATTTACGAGATTTTACGAACACGATAACAAGACAAGTTTCTTGGCCGTAACGTTTCAAAGCTTTTGACAGTTTAACTAATCTAATAACTATATTTCACTCGCTGGAGGGAATAGGTCACCATGTTACGCCATGCCTGAGATGATAAGGGTAAAGTGTTGTATTCTAATAATACATGTGCTGGCTGATGAATACATTTTATTCAAAGTCAATCCACATTTCCCTCGAGAGAGAGAACCCCAACAACGCGTTTCGTAATAATGTAACTTTTTCCACTAGATTTTTTCCCTCCAACCAACCTTAACCTTGATAGTTTAATCAGCCTGCATGGATATCAAAGTCCGGCCTGGGTTTTAAGATCCGCCCTTGATCCGTCATGTTGCTTCAAAGAGGAAGACACGACTTTTCATTATGTAAGAAAACTAGACAATCCGTTTTCCAAGACGGAATAAGAAATGTATTATTATTAAATCTAACTCGACTTAACCCTAAAATAAAAAATAGGACGGATTGACGTAATAATATTTAACTTGCTTGCACAACAAAGTCATTCACCTCCCCCACTAATGAATAGGGAGCCATTAGGAAGCCAAGTTTTTGTCTTTGTTGATGCAGATCCTGGACTTTGTAACGTATTCGAGAGTGTCGTTAAAATAAATGAATTACTTTTAACACATCAGCCATGGTTGTAGCAGGTGCGGTTAAAATGGGCCATGCTCTGGCTAACACCACAAGCCAAGAGAAATTATAAACAAAATTTGCATTCAAATGTGCACATTAACAATGTCCTCATTTAAATATTGCATTTGAGAATGGGGTTTGGAAACCTGTGAGGAATACGTCAAATTCGAGTGAAATTGAATTAATGTCCAGCAAGAAGCATGGTTTTTTTTAACGGAAAGTTATCTAGAATTGCATCTCATCCTGGGACATAAAATACTTTACCTGTGCAACGCAGGAGGATATATGTACAGCCAACCAGCACGTAATGGCTTTATTACTCGCAACGATTATATATCACGGACAGAGTAACATTGACTCTGTTAAGCTAAATTGTGGCTCTGGCAAAAAGTCGTCTTTTTATATATTGCTTTTCGAATACATTGAATCAAGTGAAAAACTAGCAGTAAAATTGATTAGGCAATCATTATTGCTTAAACTCAGCTTCCATCCAGAAAATAAAATGTTCCAACACGTTAGTGCAAAATCGGCCGTATTTGGTAATGAACTAATGAAATGAAGGCAATAATGAAGGAAAATTATGTCATTACCTAAGCAATCATAATCACCAATTACTGCATTTTACTTAGACTTGGTTCTCACGAATCATTGTAAATCGTACGCAGATTCATGTACACAATGTTCATCAAAGGGACTTTTTCTTGCTCGTCATTCGTTTTCTTTATTCGCTAAAATTCCAGCAAGGAAATTGCAACTACAACAAGACGGAATTTCTTTCGATACTTGTTAATTACACGTAATGATGATGACTGAAGGAATAAGGAAACTTTATCGGCGACGTTGACAAGGTCAGTCGAGAAGGCGAGAGTGAAGCCAATTACTTTGTGTAATCAATTCTCGGCCATTCGTACGTAGATAATTGCTATTTACAAGTGGAGCACATTTGCCTCATTGTCCACAAAAATGAAATTGTGTACGAGTAGCCCATTACGTTTAGTAGTATTATACAATTTGACATCGCCAATCTATAAGAATCGACACCCCACGAAAACTGTATCAACAATTACCTATTGTGTGTAACCAATAACATATGCCAAAAATTAGCAGTGCGACTTGACGTGAAAAAGGGTGAGGCAAATGGTGGTAAAACTATGCAGAGGTCGTTGATAAATTGCTCCTGTAACACGACGTATGCAGTACATGACCCAATGCACGCGTCGTTACTTTTTAATCATCTTGATTTTCTTCAGGCGGCTGGCGACCAAAGGCGAAGTAGAAGCAGTGCAGGCAGATTGTTGAAATGAAACAATGCGAAACAACAGGATTCGCAAATTGTATTTGCGTTACGAGTATTTGCAATGCTTGAACAAAATCGCCGACCAGAAAGTATTTACTAATGTTCAGTCAGGCCGAGTTTTGCAAGTAATGCGAAAAACAGAATAGTTTTGGAATGGGATGAATTGCAAACTTGGCTGTTGCAAGGTTGCGTCATTAGCGGGATTGTAGAGAAAATGTTCCATTTTCGCACACAATTAGAGAGAAAACTATGGGAAATCGAAATGGCATCAACCACATGGCATCATCATTACACCGCAGTTTGTGTGGACAAAGAGTTATAAATTCCCGTTTTAGTCAAGGACAACAATGAAGGGACTGGGGAGAGAATCAGTCCAATGTTCAAATATGCCGACTCGATCGTTCGCCATTTTATTTGCATACGCAAAATAAAATAAAGCCACTAAATTCAATCAGTAAAAGAGAAACGCTTCTAACAGTTCGGCGCCCCGAGAGCGGACATGATTCGCTTCGCTGAACTCTTGACTTTTTTACTGCTTACTTTGCTAAACGGTGTTTAGAGGAGGAAGATGAGAACCAAATAGAATTAGTTAACGAGACGACGAGCTATATTTTTAGAAATATTGCAACTACTCGGTCCCATTAAGGGCACCACAACTACCCAGTTACTTTTACTCCCATGAAGAAAATGCCAAGTTTGCTGCTGCTGCTGCTAGAGTTTTAGCCGCCTCCGTATTAAATATTTTACGATCTGTTTCACTCCACAAACGATTCCAGCAACAAAACAACACATGACTTTGAAACAATGCCCTGCATAATTCCTTTGTTCCCAGGAAACTTTCTCATCCAGCCTCGTCTCTTCTTACACAAGAGACCTCGCTGAGGAAGTGGAAATATGACGATATAAATTCACGTCCGTTTCGTCCCCCCATTTCTTAAAGCACCACCTCATTACAAACACACCCAGTCAAACGCTTTCGCAATATATTTGCAAAGTGAACCGTGGAAAGTTTCCTGGAAGGATAAGTCATTAGAGTAAAATCGACAAAGTTTTACACTAAAATGTTCAACAAAGAAATTTCATACTTTTTTCAGACTTGAAGGTTCAAGTAAAAATTGGACTGGCTTTTCCAGTATTTGCAGTAGCAGCCGTCAAAGATATTGTTATTACTGTGTCGTAGTAGTAGTAGTAGCAGGCCAGAATTGGCGTGAGCTCTATTATG